AGCGAGCCGGGCACCCCGAAAGGCAGCCAGGTCTGACAGCTGGCCCTTGGTGGGCACCCTGGGCACCCTGACTTCCACAGACCACAGGGTGACCAAGGTAGAACCAGGAGGTGAGGACCGAGGCCCTGGACCTTGGGCTGGCTGCTCTCCCAGGGACTCTGGTGTCTAGAACCTTCCTGTGATGGCAGGGTGGGGGGCACTGGGGGCTGGCAAGAACTGCCACACAGCACGCTGCAAGGAATGGTTCATGCCTGCATGTCACCACTGCCCTCGCCTTCTGTGAGAAGAGCAGCCCACGCCCACCTGTCTGCCTAGGGCTTTGCAGGGCCCAAACCATGCCAGCTGGGCTGCAGGGCATTCAGATAAGAGTGGGAGAGCGAGCCAGCTGAGTGGGCAACCACCTGGGTGGGACTACCTGTCCTCCTGCCCGCCCTAGCAGCCCTCTCCTCTCCCTTTGACGGGCACTGCTGCTTGAGGGCATCATGTGAGAACACCCAGGATGTCCCAGCCACCTCCACAGTCACCAGGAAGCCCGGAGGCCACAGGGCCACTGCATGGGACCCTGGCCAGTCTGGGTATCCCAACATCGACCCTGGGTCCTGGCATGGGACAGTCACAGACAGGACCTCCCCCCAGTACACACACGCCCCAGGCCCCACCCCGAGAACTTGTCCACGTCCAGGCTGCCACGAGAGCTGCTCAGGCGCTCCACCCCCACGCAGGGCCACTCACGGGTGTCCACAGACAGGCCTTCCTCCTAACCTAACTGCCTGGGGGGCTGCTTCCGCTACCCTCGGGGTCGCCCGAGGGCCAGCCCTGCTTCAGGCTCCCAGCCACCAAGTTCCTCTCAGCAAAAGACAGCGGAAGACCTTCCGGAAACTTCTGTTTTTCCACCCACCTGTGGCACAGGGAGCTAACGGGTCCTGCCTGGCCTTCCATGGCCACGCTGAGGGTAGAGCCTGCCCCCGGCTCTGTCTGCAAGCTTTGTCCACTGAGCACACTTGAGGTCCCCAGTCTGAACCCTAAGACATGAGAGGGGTCTCCACCACGTCCACACAGCAGAGGTTCTGGGTTGGATCCCCAGCTCCGGCTCCTGGTCCCAGGGCCTGGACCCCACCACCCGCGAGAGGGACCTGAATGGAGCTCCTGGCTCCCGACTCTGGCCTGGCCCAGGTCTGACTGTTGAGGAGGGGAAATTAGCAGCCATGGAACTCTAGCAAACACATCATTTTCTCGAAAGTTCGTAGAAAATGTTCAGGATAAAAAAGATACGTATACAAGCTACGATGCAGCGAACTCGGAAATTCTCTGCACCCAAATAAAGTGACGTTCACATTCCACTTTCCAAGGACTTTCCCCAGGTCCCTCCGCTGGGTGCTTTCCCTCGGGAAAGGCCACAAGCCCCAGCCGACCCTTCCACGGGGCAGGGGGCAGACCCTGGAGCCGACACGGCTGTCGGATCTGCCCGCCCCGGCGGTGTGACGTCCAGCCAGCGTGAGTCCCGTCACAGGACCCCTTTTCCATTCCAAAGGGAGCCAGACAACACGCCGAGCTGGGTCCCCAAACGTCACACGCTGACCCCCCAAATACTATCCCTTTCCTAAAGAAAAGACCTCTGGGTTTGAAGGCTCAAGTGTCAGGGTGGAAGGGAAAAGAGCCCTTCAGTCTGCTGGGTCACTCCTCACAGGCCTGCATCAGCTGGTCAGATCAAAGCCAGGAGCCAGGAGCTCTGCAGGGTCCTCGGGATGACAGGACCACCAGTTCTCAGGCCAGCACCTGCTTCTTCCCTGCGCATCAGAAAGGCGCTGGACCACAAGTGGAACACCTGGGATTTGAACCAACAACTTAGATGTGAAGTGGGACTGCCAAGCGGAAGTTTAACCCACAGTGCCACGAGAACAGCCCCACGAGCTTCAGAAGGCAAAGGCGACTTCATCCTAGAGATGGGGTCTTTGGGGCCTGGGGGTGGAGTCCCATGCACACGGCTGGTCCGGACAGCGGCACCCTAGGGGACTGCAGCTGCCCACAGCAGGTAATGGTCATCTGCCTGACCAGGGCATTTGGGGTGCTGCCACTCCCCCGGACACTCTGCAGCACTGTGTCCTGGCCACCCTAAGTCACAGGTGGCTGCTGCAGCCGTGAACGGCCAGGAGCCAGAAAGCATACCCCACATGCACACACACCCTCAACGGGGGAAGCAGGCAGCCGGGCTGGGCCAGAGACAGCCCAGGCTGGCTCACTCCCTGCTCCCACGAGTCCCCGGGGCCAGCCCCTGAATTTGTCACAACCCCGGCTAGCCAAGGGAAGTGAGTCGCACCAGGACGCCCGCACTGGCTGCGTTTGGGGCGGGTGAGGACCGTGCGGAGGCCGGCAGTGGTGGGCTGTGTGGAGACAGGGCCCTTTGTTCTGCCATGCCGGGGCAGCAGGGGCAGGAGACAAGGGCCTGTCTTGCTCTCCGGGGAAAGTGCGTCCAGGCAGGCTGAACGGCAGGGCCAGCCGGGGGCTGCCTGGCACACTGTCGGGGTGGGGATGGCGGCTGGGGCAGGATGCAGGACACACGGAGGGTAGGTGGTGGGAGCGCCCAGAGGTCCTGCAGAGGACGTCGCCTCCTGGGGAGGGGCAGGGGAGGGAGAGGGTGAGGGCAGAACTGAAACAGTGTCCACTCGGAAGGGGCCGGCTGGGCCACCTCTAATCTCATCTCGGGAGGAGAGTACCGGCCGGCCCAAGCCGAGGACACGGCCTCCCCAGGGACAAGGAACAAAGACGCCCACCGGCCCCCGACTGCCACTTCCTCCTCTGCTGTCCAGTTCCCCCTCTTTATCTACCCCATCCCCTCGAGATTAGAAACTGCCACCCTGGCAGAAGCCAAGGGGCTGCCCGCCTCCCCCAGCCCGGCCCTGGTCCAGTGGCAGCTCCAGAGCTGGTCACTGGTGGGAGCCAGCAGGCACTGAGCAGGAACGGGGTACAAGCCTGAGCCACCCACGGCAGCGAGTGGGGACGGCAGCGGGCTAGGGGAGGGGGACCACCGGCGTCTAACACATGGAGGCCACGCGTACCCACAGCGTTCTCCAGCATGGTGAGAGCGCGCTGTGCACGCAGGGGGCGTGTGCATGTCCACCCAAGGTCTGGGTGAAGCCTCGAGCAGGCTTGCTCAGCCGGGAGCAGGACCCTGGGTGGGAAGACGCAGTACTGAGGCCATAGTTCCTGCCCGGAACTCCCCACTGCCCCTCAGCCTGGACTGCAGGTGGGGCGTGCCGCCAGCCCCCTCTTCCCAGGAAATTCGCTGGAATCCCCCTTGTCCCCACGCTCCCATTGGCTGCCGCTTCACTCCCAGAAAAGAAGGTGGCCAGTTCCTGCGGCCATGCAAGGGACACCCCGAGAAGCCCACTGCCCAGCCACAAGCCTCTGAGTTAACGGGGTTTCCCAGCACTGGGCGCAGCCAGAGCTTTTTGGAGCAAGTGCACTTAGCAAAAACCAAAAAAACAAAAAACCAGAAACAACATCATGCTGGACTGGGAGACGGGGAGTGGGGTGCCCTCGCAGGCTGTGGGGACCTGAAGGGAGACGGGGAGTGGGGTGCCCTCACAGGCTGTGGGGACCTGAAGGGAGACGGGGTGTACGCTACAGGCGCCAAGAGCAACGAGCCGAGTCATGGTGCAAAGCTACAAGGCCATAGGGGACGGAACCAGCACGGACTGCCAGTCCAGTGCTCCCCACCCCATTGACCAGGGAGGCAGAGAGGAGGCCTGTGCAAGCTGTAGGGTCTGAAGACACTGATCCTGCTCCCAGGGAAGGCCTGGCTGGGGTCTCGCCCGCAGTCTCTCTCTGCAGCAGGCAGGGCCAGCCAGGCCACAGCCACCTCCTGTGTGTCAGCCCTAACACCGGAGGGGCAGGCTGTCCCTTCCCTCTGCCCCTTCCCACACCAGCTGGCCACCTGGGCAGGTGAAGGGTTCCTAGAGCGCAGACACACCCACCTTCACCGGCAACTCTCCACCACACCCCATCTGGAGATGTGGCCAGAGCCCTCCCGGCATCCCAGGTGCCCAGGCACAGGGCTGCAGGGCACCCGAGGACCAGAAGGCAGGGGCTGGGCGCTGCCAGGCAATGTCCCACACACATCCACGCTAACCCTCCCTGTGGCCCCGCAGGTCTGCAGGACGTACGGCCACAGGGGGACACGCTTCCACTTACCACAGACTCTGGGGAGTTGGGGTTGGCGCACCCACTGGCTGCCTTGGGCCCCACTCGGGACCCTGACACTCCTCTCTCCCTCCCAGGGACCCCAGACCCAGGAAAACATGGGATTCCCACGACGGCGAGGCCCGCCTGCAGGGCGCTGGATGCACCCTGGGCTCACTGAGTCATTGCGTGGGAAGGCAGGAAGCAGATAAGTCAGGAGGGGACAGTGGGGGGATGCACCCCAGTATCTACCAGTGGGAGAGGGGCTGCACCCCTGTATCCCTGGGTAAAAGAAAGTGGCTGCACCCCAATATTTCCTGGCATGAGGGGGTGCTGCACCCGAGCATCTCCTGACAGGAGTACGAGCTGCACCCCAGTATCTCCCGGTGTGAGTGGGGAGCTGCATCACAGTATCTCCCGGGAGTGAGTGGGGACTACGCCCCAGTCTCTCCGGGCAGTAAAGGGGGTCTGCACGTCAGCATATCCCGGCAGCAGTGGGGGCAGCACCCCAATATCTCCGGGAAGGAATGGGGGCTGCACCCCAATGTCTACCGGCGGGACTCCGTTCCTGCTATTCGGCTCCCCGCAAACCCCAGACACGCCCGGCCTCCTCTGGGGGTCCCGGACCTCGCCCTCACTCCGTTTCTGCCATCGCGGGGGGCCTGTGCCCCGGCCCGCGGCCTTCTCGAACACGCACCCCGTTTCCTGTGACGCCTCCCCCTCCCCATGACCACCAGAGCCACGTCCTCTGAGCGTCCGCGGATCCAGGCCCGACCCCCCGCGATCACCAGCCAGCCGTCCGCCCGCCCTCCCGCACTCACCTGGGCCTCGGCCGTCCTCGCACCGGACGGGTCCGCCCGCGCCCGCCGCCGCCCGGGCTGCTCCGCCCCGCCGCTCCCCCGCGCTCGGCGCTTCCGGGTTCCGGCCCGGCACCGCCCCCTCCGCAAGCCCCGCCCCTTCCTGCGCCTGGCCGCGCGTGGCGGCGCGAACCAAGCGGGAGGCCGGAAGGGGGGAGGCCGCCGGCTCAGGCCGCGCCAGCTCGCCGCTGCCGACGCGCGGACACCCCTGCGGACATGGTCCGGCCCGCCGCCGCGCCGAGCCGGCCTTCGAGTGGCCAAGGCGGGAAAATGGCGGATGCCGGCGACGCCGGGTGAGCGGCCGAGGAAGCCCGCAGAGGCGACCGTGGCCGAGGGCGGCCGGGCCGGAGGACGGAGAGCCTCGGGGCGGCTTCTCGGGGGGCTCCCTCGGGGAACCGCCGCGCGGCACCTGCGCATGCCCGAGCGGGGACGGGGGTGCCCGAGCGACGGGGCTGCGAGTTCGAGTCCCGCGGCGTCCACGGCGGGCGAGCGGCGTTGTCCGTCCGTCCCCGTGCGGCTGAGGCCGGCGCGGGCCAAGCGTGCGCCCTGACAGGCGGCCGGTGAGCCGGGCACGGCCGCCCCGGGAGTTTGTCCGAGCCCCGAGACGGCTCGGGAATCCTCCATCCCGCTCCCTTCGCTCAGATAACCCCGTCAGTTCCCGGGCCGGCGGCAGACGACCACCCGGCCGCTGTCTGACGCGCCCTGGAGCTGCATCCCCGGCTCGCCCGTGGGTTGGCAGGGACCCCAGCCCGGCCTGGTGCTGCCTCCTCCCGGGGTGTGCGTTAGCAGGAGGCTGGACTCGAACCCACGCAGCACTGTGCTGAGGCATTCAGGCTCTCTCCCGCCCGGGGTGCCCACTGGGGCGCGACCTCCCCGCGGGGGTCGTGGGGCGAGCCTGGGCCAGCTCCCCTGACCTTGACTTGTGTTCCAGGAAGCCGGCTGGGGTCCCCGGCACTTCTGGTGGGGCCAAGATGAAAGAGAAGCGAGGCCGAGGTGAGCCTGCTGGGCCGTGTGCCCGCAGCGCTGCGGGGCCGGGCAGGCCGAGGGGTGCCAGGGGGTGCCAGGCTCTGATTGTGTGGTCAGGTGTCGGGCAGGCCGTGGGGTGGCCCAGGCCGTGGGTACCTTCTCTCCCAAGGGTGCCAGTGGTTGCACGGTCAGGTGTCAGGCAGGCACGGCCCTCCCTGCCCTCATGGCCTTGTGACTGTCCCAGCCGGGATAGGGAAGATGGGTTGCTGCAGGGCCCTCTGCTTGGAAGGGGGCACCCTCCACTGCCATCCAGGGGAAGACCCTCCATGTGGCCATGTTCTATCCCGACACCCCCTGCGTCTGCCCTTGACACGTAGGCACCTGCACCCTCTGGTTGTCCGTGGCTTCTACACAACACTGCTTCCCGCCATACCTCTGAGCTCACTCACTTCACAGACAGGAATCCCCGCACTCTGGGGGTGCCAGGCGACTCCCCCCTAACTGTGGGCATGGCTCTCCTGGCTCCGAGATGTGGTGGAGTCATCACTGTGCCCCGCTGGTCCTTGACACTGCCCCGTCCATCTGGCCTGCCCCTGCACCTGTGAGGAGCGCAGGGTCATTCCTCCAACATGTGTTCCTGCATGCCTGCAGGCGGGGACCTGGAGCAACCAGCAAACACGGGGCCTAGGGCCTGAGAGGCTGCTGGAGCAGGTGCCTTAGGCAGCCCCTACAGAAGCACCCCAGGGTACCACTGATAGATGCCACAAACCCTGTGCCTTAGGCAGGCAGTGACAGAGGGTCAGCATCCCCGAGGTAACAGTGACGGATGCCGCAGGCCCTGTGCCCTTGGTGAGCAATCACAGAGGGTCAGGAGGTGATGGTGCATGCAGGTGCCTCCCCCCAGTGTGGGACCAGTGGCTTCCAGCCAGGGCTCAGGCAGCAGGAACTGGGGGACTTGCCCAATGGGGGAGCTTTGGGGGCTCCGAGCTGCTGCCTGGAGAAGTAGGGGAGGGTGGTACCTCTCCTAGCCAGGCCAGGGCACTCAGGAGAGCAAGGCAGATTGGCAGGTGCAGGGCACTGGGTGTGGGGAGCTGGCAGGGCGCAGGGCGGGCTCCGGGGTGCAGGAGCTTCCCTCTGAGCTCAGGGCTGGGTGTCATAGCCCAGAGTGGCGGGGTCCCTGAACCCCAGGGCCTTGAGGAGGGGAGCAGCCGCGGCTCTCTGGGCACGAGTGGGGTGCCACACCCGGTTCTGCCCCGCAGGGGGAAGAGTGGTCGAGTCCCGGTACTTGCAGTATGAGAAGAAAGCCCCCAGAAAGGTAAGGGGCGCTCCGTGTGCGTGGGGCACGCTTCCACACGGGCTCCTGGGCTCTCAGCCCGCGAGGCCCACAGCTCCCCACGCTGCAGCTTGTGGCTTGAGGGACTGTCCCCTTAGGTCTGTGACCGTGGAGCCCAGCCAGCCCTCACTGCCGGGTCCTGAGGCAGTCCTGCCTGGGGCCCGCACACTCCCACTGGCAGCCTGCATCTAGGAGGGCACCTGCAGGAGCCCTGCCAGCCTGAGTGTGAGGCCCGGCCACTCTGCCTGCCACTCGGGCAGCTGGGGAAGCGCCAGCCTACTGCTCGGGTGCGTGGGGGCCCCGCTGCAATCCCAGGCTCCTGGCCCAGCAGCCAGCGTTGGCGAGTGATTCCCGTGGGTGAAGGCCTCTCTGTGTGACCCGGCCTTTCAGTTGAACAACTGGCTCCAACCGTGCTTTTATCCAGAACATCCTGTGGGTGTCCAGAGGAAACCCCCGGGGAGACGTGCCCGAGTGTGCAGTGTTCCCACTGCGAGGCAGGGAACGGTGGGCAGAGAGCGGCTCCCGTCACCGCGGAGACCTGGCGGGGACGGTCAGCAGATGACCCCGTGCGCCGAGAGCAGGGAGAGCCAGCCACTGGCTCGCTGCCCGGATGCCCACCACGGCCAGGGCTGGGCTGTCGCCTGCTGCCCTCCCAGGCGTGCCAGCAGGCAGCTGGGTCAGGTGCTCGGAGCAGCACTAGGTTGGGGGACGTGGGGCCTCGGGAGGCAGCTTCCCGTGGTGTGCCCAGTCCTGGCTGCCCCCGGGAAGGGGGTGGCACAGCCGGCACCCAGCCTTGGCGTTCCCTATCAGAGGGCTGCTGACCAAGGAGCAGTGGGGCCCTCCCGGCTTTAGTGTGGCCAGGACTGCTTGGTTACAGCGCCCCCATGTGTCTGTGGCTGCTTTTGACGCCCCCAAAGCTAAAGCCAGGAGCTGCTTTGGGGTTGCCCACAGGGGTCAGAGGCCCAGCTACTGAGCCGTGGCCTGCGTCCTCCAAGGTGAGTGCCAGCAGGGAGCTGGATGGAGAGCCAGGCTGGGCTGTGGGTGTCCCTAGCGACGGGGGTCGCCTGAGTCACAGGGGTCCACCGGCCAGCACGTCCGTGTCTTGCACACATCACATGTGTCCCTGGGGCCTCGCATGGAATTCCTGAGCTCTGCCCATCTCTGCCTTGGCTCAGAGCAGGCGCTCACACCCCTTCCCACTGACCCCAGGAGAGGCGCTGATGGCCTCGTGTCCCCAACAGGCTCCTGCGGCTGACACCTCCAGGTGTGGCGGGAAAGCCCCCGACAGCGGGAGGAAGGCTGGCGTTCTGCAGCAGAGCCGAGGTGTGCGGGGTCAGGGGCGGCAGGGGTGGTGGCCTTGGGCTCGCTGGAGGAGCCACGGGGAGCCTCTGGGAAAGGTGTGTGTGCCAAGAGCAGCTGTGCCCCTTGGGCGTCGCACCAGGGGCCTTGCCTGGCCTGCCGTGGCCGCCGCCGTGTGGTTCTTCTCTGTGACCCCAGCTGCCCCCGTGACAGCGGCTGCCTGCTCTCCCCCAGGACCTTCGCCGAGGTGCTGGAGCTGTCTGCCAAGGCGAGTCAGGAGGCCGCCCTTGTGAACCAGGAAGCCCTGGAGCGAGCGGAGGGCCTGGACGCCCCCAGCCGCTGGTACTTTGGGGAGGGCGCCGCCCGTGGGGAGCCTCCCGGAGGTCTCCCCGAGGCCACCGCGCCAGCCGGCGCCCTGTGAGCCCGATGCCCCTGCCCGTGTTCCGGGAGGCCTGTTGGTGCATGGCACGTTCTTTGCTGTGTGGGCAGCGCTGTTCTGTGTTCACTTTGTTTGTTGTTTGTTGAAATACAGATCCTGTGTACAGCAGCCTGCGGTGTGTGCGGGGCGTGGCCTGTGCCCTCTCCCCTCCTTCCTCTTCCCTGGCCCCCGGCCCCCGACCCTGGGGTGAGGGTCCAGACACGGACTGTGTCACCAGGAGACATGTTTGGCACTTTGCCAGTCCACAAGCAGGGAGCCTGATGGGAAGTAGAGCAGCCAGGACTCAAACCGATACCCCTAGTGTCTGCCAGCACCACCGGCAGAGGATTAACCTATGTGCCAGCCTGTTGGCCCCCTTGTCCTCAGGGATTCTGTGGTATCCATCAAGGCCCTACCCCTGGGCTTCTCCGGCTGGGCCCCGGCGTGTGCCATCATCCCTGCTGTCCCTGGTCGGCATAGGGAATCAGAGCCAGGACTTGCAGCCCACGTGGGTAGGCCGGTATGTGCGTGAGGACATGTGAGCAGCGTGCGGCAGGCAGCGTTTCTGGCCTGCACTGCCTCCGTGCTGGTGGCGTGTTCCCAGTGCTGACAGCCACACTTGTCACCAGGAACAGCTAGTGTCACCCGGCGGTAGCTGGGGTAAGAGCTGAGAGCCCTGGGCTTAAATAGACCCTGTGGTAGCAGGACCCAGGTGGGCCGGCCTAGCTGCAGGTGGCAACCCTGAGCCTCCTTTCACCTGCCCTGCCAGGGTTGGGCACAGCTCCCCGCACCCGCATGACTTCCCACAGACACACCTGCCAACCCCTTCTCCTCCCCAGAGTTCAGCTTACATGGAGACCTCGGGGGACCTGGGTCCCTGAGCCTCAACGCCTAACCCTGGGAAAACAGTTGTTATGGCGACCACGGAAGGTTCCTTTGGGCTGTGGAGCTGGGGAGCAGGTGCCCAGGTGTGTGGAGGGTTGTCAGCCGGGAAGATGCCTGCGCTGCCCCCCTACCCCACCTGGACTGAAGCCAGTAGCCTGCAGGGAGCAGCTGGCTCTGACCCCCAACACCTGCCCAGCCCTGCCACACGGTGCCCCAGGGGCCCTGGGTGAGTGACGAGGGCCCCGCCCTGCCTTTCTCCAGGGATGGCTACTGAGCTCTCAGCCCTCGGCCCTGTTCCCAGGGAAGGCATCACTAGGCGGGCAGCATGAGTGAGGGCTGCTTGAGTCCCCGCACCTGCCGGCGGCTTCTCCATGGCCAGGCAGGGGTCCTGCCCGCGCCTTCGCCCAGCGGTGTGGCCATCTTTATCAGCTCTGTCGTGTCAGGTAAGGGGCAGCGGCTGGCAGCTCTGGGAGGGCGTGTCCTTCCTGCCCCCCCTCCCAAATCCCGACTGGATGTGGGTACTGTCCAGCTGGTGACCCTGTGGGGGCACCGGTGACGGGTGGCCTCCTGGAACTGTCTCCACTACGCCCACACACCCACAGCAGCCAGAGCCGGGCCATGCTGAAGCCAGGAGCTGGGAGCTGTGTCCAGGTCTCCCACATGCTCCCTGGCTTTGTAGATCTCAGCACCCCTGTGGGAAGGTGAAGTAGCTTCCACATGGGAGAGGTGGGGGTGGTGCTCCAGGCTCCCAGCCTCCACCTGGACCAGCCCTGGCTGTTACCAGCGTTGGGCGAACCAAATGGCAGGTGGAAAAAGACGTCTTCGTCTCTCTGTGAGAGCTCCCTGCCACTTTGCCTGTCAGATAAACAACAGCCATCTGCCGTCGGGTTGCCCACACCAATGAGTGCCTGGGACAGAGCTGGCTGTAAGCGCCTGGATCAACACCTGTATCCACCATGCCAATGATTCAGTCCCCAAGTGGCCGCAACAGCCACGGCTGGGCCGGGCTGGAGCCAGGAGCCAGGAGCTGCTTCTGGCTCTCCCACACGAGTACAAGGTGCCAAGGCTTTGGGCCGTCCTCCACTGCTTTCCCAGGCCACAGGCAGGGAGCTGGATGGGAAGTGGAGCAGCCAGGACACAAACCAGTGCCCTCTTGGGATCCTGGTGCGTGCAAGGTGAGGACGTTAGCCACCAGGCTACCATGCTAGGCTTATGAAAGCATTTCTAAGTGATGAATTTGGAATAGTATCTAGCTTTGCTTTGGGTGTCCTGTGTTGCAATGTAAATTCAATTTTAATTGCAGTCTCTAAAACAGTTTGTATTTACTTGAAAGGCAAGTAAGGGGGAGAGAGAGTACACGTTCCCAGATGCTGAGCTCTCAGCCCTCGGCCCTGCTCATCAGATGGTGCTGCAGGAGCCAGGAGCTCCAGCCGGGTCTCCCGTGCGGCGAGGCAGGAGCCCAGGCACTTGAGCCATCGCTCACTGCCTTCCCAGGTTGCAGTCGAGCTGGGAGCTGGTCTCAGGAGCAGCTAGGCATCAGCCCAAGCATTCATACATGTCAGCAGGGATCCTAAGCTCTCGGGCCAGGCACCTGCAAGGGCTGGGGTTTGGAGGGGGTGGTTAACACGATCGAGTCCCAGGCAAACCCACACAGGTTGCCTGTCCAGGTTACTTTTTGCGTAAGGGTTATTCTTCAGGATCAGTATATCCCAGATAGCACCCGAGGGCACATACTTACATGAGTACATCACCTTTGCCTAGCTGGGCAGGGCTGCAGGCCTGGTGGGCGGCGGGTGGAGGAGGCAGACAGCGGATTCCAAGCTTTTCCCTCGTGCCCATTCCCTTACAGATATGGACGCAGAGAGAGAATTCCTGCAGAGAAATGCCTACCCCGAGCTCCAGACCTTCTGCCAGAAGCTTGGCCTGCAGTTCGAGGTAGCCGTCAGCGCCACGGGGGCCACGTCGGAGCCTGCTCGCGTTCTTTTGCGGAGTCTTGTTCAGCGTGGTTCTTGGTGTTCGTTTATCCGCTTCCTCTGAAAGCGCACAGCAGCCAGGGCAAGGTCAAGGTGGAGCCAGGAGCTCCAGCAGGGTCTCCCACATGGGTGGCCAGGCCCCGGGGACTTGGGCCGTCAGCTGCTGCTATCCTAGGGTGCATGTCAGAGCAGGGAAGCAGGCCGCCCGGCCCCTGCAAAGGACACAAGCCGGGACCGCAGCTGCGGGGTACAGGTGACCGTGGACTTGTGCAAGCACCCTGGTCCGTAGGAAGCAGCACTGGGATGTCCATCCGCTCTGAGGCTAACCAGGCAGATGCTAGAGGTAGACGGGCAGTGGGGTCTGCTGAAGGGCCTGGACCTTGTCTTCCTTTGTTTTTTTTTTAAAGATTTCTTTCTTTTTCTTGGAAAGGCAGATATACACAGAGAGACAGAAAGATCTTCCGTCTACTGCTTCCCTCCCTAAATGGCCACAATGGCCAGAGCTGAGCTGACCTGAAGCCAGGAGTCTAGAGCCTTTGGAGGTCTCCCACGCAGGTGCAGGGTCCCCAGGCTGTGGGCCGTCCTCCACTGCTTTCCCAGGCCACAGGCAGGGAGCTGGATGGGAAGTGGAGCAGCCGGGACATGAGCTGTGGACCCCGGTACTTGGCGGTGGAGGATTAAGCAGTTGAGCCTCGCACCAGGCCCAGTTTTGCGTGTTTGGGTGTTCAGTATATAGGGCATGATTCAGTGTCACACGGTGACCTACGGGCATGGACACCCCACACGCACAGTGAGGGGACGCTGCTGTCCAGGGGAGCACAGAGACAGCGCCCCAACACGCCCACCTGTCTCTGCAGGTCGCTGATCTGAGGTGGGGCCTCCCGAGCTCGCAGGCCACCGTGCACCTGACCCCCGAGCTCTGCTTGGAGGAGCTAGAGCGCTGTCAGAGGACATCTGTGGGCCCGGCCTACGTGGTGAGTACGTCGGGAAGGAGGCGTAGTCCTGCTGACCCCAGCCTGCCAGCCGATCGCAGCACCCGGAGGCGCTCAGCCAGGGTCCAGGCATTGGTAGTCATATGGAAGCAGCAGGTGAGCTAGGGAGTGGAATGTGGAAAGCAGAGAGAAGCTTCGAGATTGATCTGGAAACTTCCCTCACCTTCCTCGCTCTACTCTTTAAGTACTTGGGGATACTGGAGAAGCAGAGAGAAGTGACAGACACAGGCACATCTTGGGATGCTCTGTGAATTCCAGCATTTTCTCTTCCTCCATTCCGAGCTGACACCTTAAAACACCCCTGCCTACCAGTCACTGGGCTATGAGCATCAAGTCACATTTCTCTTATTAAAAAAAAAAAAAAAAAAAGGTTTACTTATTTTTATTGGAAAGGCAGATCAAATTGACAGAAACTTCCTTCATCTGCTGCAACAGCCATGGCTGGGCCGGGCTGAAGCCAGGAGCCAGGAGCCTCTCCCAGGTCTCCCACGCGGGTGCAGGGTCCCAAGGCTTTGAGCCGTCCTCCACTGCTTTCCCAGGCCACAGGCAGGGAGCTGGGTGGGAAGTGGAGCAGCCAGGGCAAACTGGTGCCCATATGGGATGCCAGCACATGCAAGGAGAGGACTAGCCATTTGTGCCATCGCCCTGGTCCATCCCCATCTTTCTCACTCTGTCTTTTAAAGCACTGTACTCTCACACTGCTGAGCTCCTGTGCTTTGAAATCTCCTTCATTACTTTCCCGACCTTCTCAGCTCTGTGTTCCAAAAGAGATCATTCCAATGGACTTTCCAAGAAGTGGGGAACAAAACAGAAGGAAAAGAGAGAAAGAAGGAGAGACAGGGTAGACGCTCTCAGGGAAGACCCTGAGTCACGAGCAGCAAAAAGCACAGCCCGGCTGCGTGCTTGGACTCCTTGGGAGCTGGGAGACACACCTGCAGCCTCCCCCAGCCCCCAGCCGGGACCCTGGGGACCTTCCACAACCTTCCCGGGCTGGCCCATCTCTGCTCGCTTCCCACTTGTCTGCGACGCCAGGCATGGCTGTCCCCTGCATCTGAGCCACCTCAGTGGCTGGGGACGAGTCCCCTGGGAGCTGTGTCAGGTCCTCCTGCTGTCATGCATCAGAGCAGCCCGGGCTGGGGGGGGGGTGTGTGAAAATGACTTATTTAAAATCAGAGCGATAAGGCCCAGTGCCATGGCCTAGTAGCTAAAGTCCTCACCTTGAGCTCGCCGGGATCCCATCTGGGCGCCGGTTCCAGCTGTTGCACTCACTTTGGGAGTGAATCAGCAGACGAAAGATCTTCCTCTCTGTGTATCTGACTTTCAATAAAAATCAATACATCTTTAAAGTAAATAAAGTCAGAGAAAGAGAGAGATGCAGAGATCTTCCACCTGCTGGTTCAGTCCCCAAGTAGCCACAGCAGCCAAGATTGGGCCAAGCCTGAAGCCATGGGCTTCTGCGGGGTCTCCCCCACAGGCGTAGGCACTCGAGCCCTCCACTGCTTTCCCAGGCACCTTAGCAGGGAGCTGGGTCAGAAGTGGGGCAGCCGGGGTGTGAACGGCCCTTCCTATATGGGAGGCCGGTGCAGCAGGCTGTGGTGTAGCATGCTGTGCCACCACTTTGCTGCCTAAGATGTTCCTTTACATGATGTTATTTAAGACCCTGACAGTTTGGGGGCCGTTGGTCAGCGGCCACAGTGTGTTCCAGGGAACGAAGTCTGTGCTGGTTGGGGCTGATGCGCATTGCAGCGTCGCTGCCCGACGCCCTGTGGTCATGGGCAATTGGAATCGTCACACCACTGTCCCTGGACATGCCTGCCTGTCCCCTCCACTGTCACAGACCCTGGTGGCCATGCCCAGATCTGACCCCGTGCTCTCTCGTCTCAGGCTCTCCTAGGCAACCAGTACGGCCCCCGTGCTGTGCCACTGCAGATGGAGGAGAAGGAATGGGATGCGGTTCGGTCCCAGCTGGCTGCCAGCCCACGTGACATGGAGCTCCTGGCCCAAGGCTTCTGCAAGGACGAGAATGCCATCCCTCCAAGCTACGTACTGCATGTGCCAGGCGCTGGGCAGCCCCGAGAGCCCGAGGATGCCACCCTGGCCTCCGCCCTCCGTTCCGGGGCTCAGGAGGCCTGGCGCCTGGGCCTGCTCACCCAGGGGCAATGGCTGCGTCACGAGCGGTCAGGTGAGGCTGTGGGGTTCCCCTTGGGGTGCACACCCATGGGCGCACACAGGCCAGAAACGTCCTGACGTGCAACAGTCCTGTTCCTTGCCTTCCCTGAGCTGGAACAAGGGGTGCAGTGTGCCTGTAACCCAGCCTTTTCTGAGACAAAGGGGTTTCCAGAAGACCAGAAGGCAAAGCCATGGAGAAGGGTCTTTTTTTTTTTTTATGGCTTACAGCCAGGGCCACTGGGCGGGCAGCTCCTGGGCAGTAACCTCCGTGGCACTTGCAACTGGGTCGCATGCAGATGGCAGGGTCGGCCTCAGCTCTGTGTGTCAGAGCGTGTACTGGCTCAGGCTCCAGGCAGTCCACCCTGGGGCCCCCAGGGGCGCTCACTGAGGTAGAAGGCCCTTGTGCCCTGCCCCGACTCGGAATGGGTATCCTTAGCACCCACAGTGCCGTGTGTCTCTTCACAGTCGTTGAGTGGGAGCTGGAGCAGGGCCTGCGGGGCCCGGGAGCCACCGTGTTCGTGCGGGACATCCACGACCTCCCGAAGCACCTGCTGGATGACTGTGCCCTCCCGATGGCCGACCGGCTCCCCGACGGCTGCCCGGACACTGCTGCCCAGGCCCTGCTCAGCAGCCTCAAGGGACGCCTCACCCAGGAGCACCCTGGCATCCTGCACACCCACCGCCTGCCGTGGAGCCGAGACCTGGGGACCCCCAAAAGCAAGGTCCATGGCCGCTACCTGAAGGAGCTGAGCGAACAGTTGGTGGCCAGGACCACCCAGCAAGTCCTCCAGCACCTCCGGGAGCTGCAGCCGCCTCCCGAGCTGCTTTGGCTCTTCCAGGAGATCCGCCACCACCACAGGCAGGGCACCGAGGCCACGCGCATCTTCTGCGGACGCCAGGGGCTCCTAGCCCGGCTCGGGGAGCAGCTCAGACGTGATGACAGCCGCTCCCACCCGCCCCTGGTTCTGTGCGGCCCACCCGGAGTGGGCAAGACCGCCCTGATGTGCAAGTTGGCCCAGGAGATGGCAAGCTTGCTCCGGCCGCACACAGTCACCGTGCTGCGACTGTTGGGGACATCGCTGCGGAGCCGGGACCCCCGCGGCCTGCTGGAGAGCCTGTGTCTCCAGGTGTGCCTGGCCTTCGGGCTGCCCCCGCCCCCCGCGCAGGTGCTGGCCACCCACGCCAGGTCCGGGCCGTTTTTCCACGCCCTCCTCCACACCATCTCCAGCCGGCACTTCGAGTCGCTGGTCCTGCTGCTGGACTCGGTGGATGACCTTGAGTCTGTGCGTGGCGCGAGGCTCCCAGGGCTGCCTCTCCAGTGCCCACCCGGCGTGCACCTGATCCTCTCGGCTTGTTCGGGCCAAGGGGGGTTCCTGGAGACTCTGCAAGAGACCCTCAGGGACCCAGCCGCCTACTGGGAGGTGCAGCCGCTCTCCGGAGACCAGGGTCTGGAGCTGCTGCGGCTGCTGCTGGCGGACGCCGGGAGGATGCTGAGGCCCGAGCAGAGGGACCTGGTCCGGGCCAGCTGCCTCGAGGGTGGCCACCCGGGCCACCTGAGGCTGGCCTTCGAGGAGGCCCGCACATGGGCTTCCTTCACCATGCCCGCCCCTTTGGCTGCCACACCCGAGGAGGCCACTCACCAGTTTTGTGCCCGCCTGGAGCAGACCCACGGGCAGCTGCTGGTGGCACACGTGCTGGGCTACCTCGTGAGCTCGCGGTAAGCCTCTTGGTTTTCTTCTTGCTGTTACTGCTTTTTCAGATTTATTTTATTTCATGTCCACTGCATTGGCTCAGTGGCTCAATCCTCCACTTTACAAACGCCAGCATCCCCATACAGATACCAGTTCATGTCCCAGCTGCTCCACTTCCCATCCAGCTCCCTGCCTGTGGCCTGGGAAAGCAGTGGAGGACGGCCCAAAGCCTTAGGACCCTGCACCCGTGTGGGAGACCCGGAAAAAGCTCCTGGCTCCTGGCTTCAGATCGGCTCAGCTCTGGCCATTGTGGCCACTTGGGGAGTGAACAGTGGATGGAAGATCTTCCTGTCTGTCTCTCCTCATCTTTGTATATCTGTTTTCCAATGAAAATAAATTTTAAAAAATTTTCATTTGAAAGTTATATATATATGCAGAGAGAGAAAGGATTTTCCATCTGCTGATTCATACCCCACATGTGCTGGGCCAGGCTACAGCCAGGAGCCAGGAGCCTCCTGCAGGTCTCCCACACAAGTTCAGGGTCTCAAGTCTTTGGGCCGTCCTCCACTGCTTTCCCAGGCCACAGGCAGGGAGCTGGATGGGAAGTGGAGCAGCCGGGACTTGAACTAGTGTCCCTGTGGGATGCCAGCGCTTCAGGCAGTGGTTTACCATGCACAGCCACAGCACTATCCCAGGACTTGTTCTTTAAACCCCTAGTTCCAGAATCCAGGCGATGTGGGCCACACCTCATCCCCAGGGGACTGCAGGGGTACGGCCTTGGAACCTCACATTCTGGTGCTGATGGGGAAGGAGGCCTTGATTTGGCATCGTGGAGAGCTCTGCCTCTGGAGTGGAACCGAGTTTTTCCCACGCCGGGGCAAGCTTCCACTGTGTCTGGGTACATTGTCCATTGTCAAGCTTGGGGGAGCACACACACTCACAGCCCCGGGAGCATGGCCGGACCCCATGTGGGGGAATGTAGAATGGGTAGACCTGGCTGTGTGGGCATCCGTGTGTGTGTGTCCTGTCCCCAGACCACTCGTGGGACACTCGGGAACGTTCATGGGAAAGTGAAAAGGGCAAACTGGGGTGGTCATGTGGCCCAGTGGGTAAGCCGCTATTTGGGATGCCCACCTCCTGTGCCTTCAGGGGCCCCAGGATCCAGTGCCAGCTTTGCTCCTCCTTGGGTGGCAGCAGCGACGGGCCCCGATGCTTGGGCCCCCGCCACCCACATGGGAGACTTCTATGGAGCACCTTATGTCCCATGAGGAAGGTGTGTGTGTGCAGGGCGCGAACACGTGCCCAGACGAGGGCACCTGCCGGCCCCTGCACAGAGGTAGGGGCACGGTCTGGCTCCTGCACGCGTGCATGCTGCCTCGCTGCCACGCGTGGCCCTGCACACCTGCCCTCCTGCCGCAGGTACGGCCTCTCGGAGGCGGAGCTCAAGGACGTGCTGTCCTTGGATGACGAGCTCCTGCAGGCCGTGTATCAGGACTGGACGCTGCCCAGCCAGGAGCTGCTGCGCTTCCCGCCCCTGCTGTGGGTGCGACTCCGGCGGGACCTGGGGTGCTGCTTGGCCCGGAGGCCCGGGGACGGCTGTACGCTCCTGGCTATCGCCCCCAGGTAAGCCCCAGATGCCTGCAATGGGCCGGGCCAGGCTGACGTCAGGTAGTCCGGATCTCCCCACAGGGACCCAGCATGAGCTCCCAGGGCACGCATGTGCAGGGAGCCGGCCCCAAGCCCTATGGAGTGCGGGTGACACATCCACAGCGCCAGATGCTGGCTCCATGGACCCACTGGAGTCTCTGCGGGTGCTCACCGATGGCCACCTGGTTTGTCCTGGCTCGTGAGGTGCTATGCACGGTGCAGATCGGAACATGTGAACGTGTGGAACGCCTTGCATGACCACTTACGTTTTAGTTCCTTTTAAAAAATTTTATTATTTATTTTTATTGTGAAGTCATATATATATAGAGAGAGAGAGAGAAGAGAGACAGAGAGGGAGATCTTCCATGTGCTGGTTCACTCCCCAAGCGGCCACAACTGCCGGAGCTGAGCCAATCCGGAGCCAGGAGTTTCTTCCGGGTCTCCCACGCGGGTGCAGGGTCCCAAGGCTTCGGGCCGTCCTCCACTGCTTTCCCAGGCCACAGGCAGGGAGCTGGATGGGAAGGGGGACTGCCGGGATTAGAACCAGCGCCCATACAGGATCCTAGTACTTGCAAGGCAAGGACTTTAGCCACTAGGCTACTGTACCAGGCCCAGCTTAGTTTCTTGAGCAAATTAAAGGATGTAGGGGAGCTGGGCCCATTTAGAAATCAATGCCGTACACCAGCACTACAGGTTGTCAGCCGACTGGCCTGTCTCTGGGCACACCTCAGGGAAGACTCTGATGCGCTGTTAGCCATTTTCCTTCTCCGCAGACAGCTGGCCCAGGTGATCCGCCAGCGCTACCTGTCCGGGCCAGAGAGGGCTAAGAGGCACAGCGTCTTAGCCGACTTCTTCTCGGGCACCTGGAGCCAGGGCACCAAGAAGCTCATCACTCTGCCGCTTGTGGGAAAGCCCCTGAACTTGGACCGCAAGGTGAGGGAGGTCAGGGATGCTGTGCGCGCCTGCGGGTGGGCCATGCCTCCGTTACCCCACTGCACGCGTGCCCCACGCCTCTGCCATCCCTGCCCCGCTGCAGTGCCCTCCAGGCCTCTTTGTTCCTTGTGGAAGAAGCTGCGATGTGTGGCGAGACCCTGGGCATGCTGGGTTGAGGGCACAGGTGGCAACAGCTGAGTTGGAGCCTGACTCCTGGCCACCTCACACACCCCATCACGTGATCGGAACCAACTGTGTCCATGTGGCCTAGGGCTAGAGCGCCACCGGGGCTGCTGACTGTGGGGGTCCTAGGACCAGTCCCACACAGCCACGAAGGACTGACCAAACCTGTGTCATCTGTCACCTATGTGGACCATCCATGTATGTGTCTACTAGAGCCTGTAGCGTCCGTCACCTACTGTCACCCAAGTCAGCCATCCATCATCTGTCAACGACCATCACCTTCCATCCATTGATCTTTATCTATCAATCACACATCTACCTTAAACCCATCCACCCACTCATCCATCCATCCACCCATCCACTCATCTACCCATCCATCCATCCATCCACCCACTCCCCCATCCACCCACTCGCCCATCCTCATGAACCACTGGATCCTGGGTCGTGCTTCGGTGTTGCCTTACGGAGGAGCAGTACGTTTATACAGAGAGCAGGAGCTGGGCTGACTTGAATGAGTGCAGCGTCTATCTGGTGCGGCCAGGCGCCGGAGGAGACCTTGTCGTCCCTCTGCCTCTCCAGTAGCTCACTCAGGACCCCTTCCTCCCCCTCCCAGCCGTGAGCACATCTCCTTCACGTCGTGTCTTACTCTCCGCAGGAGCTCTGAGCCTTGGCACCTTGGTTTTGTGTGTTTTTTGCTTTTCCGATGCATTCAAGGCTCAGCTACACACGCCACTCCCTGGGCCCCGACCCACCTCTCTTGACGCCAGGGTCTGATCGCCTATCTGCTCTCTAAATCTCAAGTCCTTTGGCCCCTGCTCTTCCTGCAGCACCTGCCATAGCTCCCCAGTGCCCTCTGTCTGAAGTCCAAGCTCCCAGAAGCGACAGCGCCCATGGATATGCTCTGTTCTATCTCAGCTGCTCCTCTCTCTCAGCCCTAGCTTGCCTTACAACCCAGTGCCCCCCAAAACTCCTAACCTGCTCTCCCCGCCCACAGCCTGTGAGTGAGCCTCGAGCCCGGTGGGTAAGACCGCTACCTCCTTTGTCCAAGTACATAACTTCAAGTGCCAGCTCCCTGCTCACGCACACCCTGGGGGCTGCAGGGCACGGCGGGAGAGCCGGAGTGCCTGCCTCTGGACGGCTTTGGCTCTCTGCAGCTGCGACCAGTACAGGCATCTGGGGGTGAACCAGCGGAGGGGCACTCCCTCTGTCTGTTGACTGTAAATTAAAAACACTCCAAAGGAATATTGTCCCCCACCCCCGGGGCTATTTGCTGCTGTTCTGTGCCCAGGAATGCCAACACTCTCTGACTCACAGACAGACATGCCCTGCATGCCCCGTAAGGCCCAGTGCTGCTGGCTTGCCCCGCGCAGTGCCATGGACTTGGTTGCCCCAAGTCCCTCTGTCTGCCCCAGCCCTTACTGTGGGTTGCTTAAGGTCTTTGTTCCGGTACCCTCCAGCAGTGTGTGTGTGTGTGCGCACCTCTGTACATGGAGTGAGCATCTATGGGTGCGTGTGCATATGTGTGGAGTGTGTGAGCATGTATGTGTGTGTATGTGGAGTGAGCGTGCTGGCTGGGCCCAGCTGCAGCTGCCAGCCTTCGCTCTCACCCACCAGGTGGCCCCCCAGCCCCTGTGGTTCTCAGACACTGTGGCAAACCTGCGGAAGCTGAGCGAGCTGCCCTGGCACCTGCTGCACGCGGGGCGCCTGGAGGAGCTGCGACAGGAAGTGCTGGGTAAGGACAGGAACCGAGAGGGTCCCACGGGTGCCCCTGCCTCACCCCCTGCCAGCTGGAGCCCCCAAAGCACAAAGGGTTAGCGTGGAAATGCATGTGTTCTCGCAAACAGGGGCACCTCAGCAGGTGCCACGGAAGGGGGTGCCACTCAAACATGATGTCTGGGACACGTTCTGCCGACCACCTGTCATCTGTGTGCGTCCACCTGTCATCTGTGTGCGTGTGGTCCACCCGTCATCTGTGTGCGTGTGGTCCACCTGTCATCTGTGTGGTCCACCCGTCATCTGTGCGTGTGGTCCACCTGTCATCTGTGTGATCCACCTGTCATCTGTGTGCGTGTGGTCCACCTGTCATCTGTGCGTGTGGTCCACCTGTCATCTGTGCGTGTGGTCCACCTGTCATCTGTGCATGTGGTCCACCTGTCATCTGTGCGTGTGGTCCACCTGTCATCTGTGCGTGTGGTCCACCTGTCATCTGTGTGTGTGTGGTCCACCTGTCATCTGTGTGGTCCACCTGTCATCTGTGTGCGTGTGGTCCACCTGTCATCTGTGTGCGTGTGGTCCACCTGTCATCTGTGTGTGTGTTGTTTCTGTGTTGACCTCTCACCTCCCATCTCCCATCTTGATGCTCCATATCAGCTGTCATGGTTAGCCACCCATCCACCCGTCCAACCCCTTCATCCCTGTCCACCCACCCATCTCACCACCCGTCACCAGCCGTGTTCTGCTCATCTGACTCTCCAGTTAGCCATCCAGTGATTGTTGTGTCAGCCACCTATCCATCACCCACCAATCCATCCACGCATCTACTCATTCATTCATTTATCTGCCCACCCAGGCATCCATCCATCCACCCTTCCATCCGCCCTTCTGTCTAACTCTGCATCCACCCTCTTGTCCATCCCTGTGATTTTCAACCAGAGAATGTGACACTTGACCTTGTCTGGGCACTTTTGGATGGTCACGCTTGAAGGCTGGGGTGCTGCTGCATCTGGTGGGTGGAGACCCCTGGGACACTGTTCCCCACCCTACCATGCCCAGCTCAGTCCTCACTGCCAAGAGTGATCCAGTGCAGGATGTCAAGGGGGCTGAGCTGAAGAACCCCAGGATGAGCTGGGGGAGGCCTGGGCTCTGCACGTCGCCTCTCCCCTGCAGGGAATCTCAGCTGGATTTTCTGCCGCGCCATCTCGGGGGGCATTGATTGCCTACTGGATGACTTTGCCCTGTGTGCTCCAGTCCTGGACTCTGCCGAGGCCGACCTGGTCCGTGAAGCCCTGCAGCTCTGCCGCCCCACCATAGAGCTCCGCGGCATGGGTGAGCCTGGCTGGCTTCCCGAGGGGGTGGGGAGTGCACCTGCTGACTCTAGAAGCTTCCTCGGCTCACTGCGCTGTGAGCTGCGTGTTACTCTCCTGTGCTCTGGTGACTCTGTGGGTGTCCTCCCAGAGGTGGCTTCTAGAATTTGGCATTGAGCTTTTTCTCTATAACTCTACGTTTCAAGTCCACATTTAAAAATATCTTAAAAAAAAACTAAACCCATCAGATCACAGGTGAGACAGGATCTGAGTTTGGGATTGCTACTGGAAGCTGGTTCCCCCTCCTCCACCACATCATGCATGGATTCTGTGGACTCAGGAGGGGTGATCGACCTCAGTGTCTCAGTGACCCCAAAAACTTGGCTGCAGGAGGGGCTTGGGGCCTTAGGCAGGGCTGCGAGCCAACAGGTGTGGAATGACATAGCTGCTCGGCTGTGTGGAAGATGCGCGTGGCTCGTGGCAGGTGCCAGGGTTGTGTGGCAAGTGGGTGTGGCTGCATGTGGATGGGCATGGTTGCATGGTGGGTGGGTATGGCTGTGTGGTGGACAGGTGGGTGTGGCTGCTTGGCAGATGGGCATGGCTGTGTGGCGGGTGGCTGTTGTCATCTTCCCTCCCACAGGCCCTGTGGGCAGTGGGGACGCTGCAGGCCACACAGTCACCTAACCCACCTCTCCTGTGTTGCAGAGAGAAGCATCCTGTACACGGAGCTCTTGGGCAGGCTCCAGTTCTTCGCCGCCTCGCACCCAGCACTGGTGGGGCGGCTGTGCGAGCAGGCCCAGAGCTGGCTGCGGGCGTGCCCACACCCCGTGCTGGTGCCCCTGGCCGGATTCCTGCCTCCCCCAGGAGGTCCCCTGCGGGCCACCCTTACCGGCTGTCACCAAGGTGAGAGGAGGCAGAATCCCGGGGGGAGAGGAGTAACACTTGGATGGGGGAGTGTCCTTTTGTCAATCGGGGACCCTCAGGTGCCACCCAGCCTGCACTACCTCTTACTGCCTCAGATTACCCACCCTCCCACCATTCCCCAGCTAGGGATCCCACCCTTAGGGAAGACTCCTGTCATTGTCTTATGGTGATGGTGGGCTTGCAACTCATGGGCTTGTGCTAAGAAGGTGGAGGGTGGGGTTTAGTGCCCTCTACCCTTCTATCCACGTACCAGCCTATCCCGCCACACACCCAGGCCCCAGAGACTGAAGGCTCTGTAGGTCCCTGGGACAAAAAGGGCAGGGTGGGAGCAAATTTTGTTTGTGCCATCCATTTGTCTTCCAGTTTTTCTGTCCACCTATTATGTCCACTCTATGTGCTAACTTACCCTCTGCCCATGCATTCTACTCACCCACCCATCCACCCACCCACCCATCCATCTGTCCACCCATCCACCCATCTGTCCACCCATCCGTCCACCCACCCATCCATCTGTCCATCCATCTGTCCACCCACCCATCCATCTGTCCACCCATCCATCTGTCCATCCACCCATCCATCTGTCCACCCGTCCATCCATTCACCCACCCATCTGTCCATCCACCCATCCATCTGTCCACCCATCCATCTGTCCATCCACCCATCTGTCCATCCATCCATCCATCTGTCCACCCGTCCATCCATTCACCCATCCATCCATCCATCCATCTGTCCACCCACCCATCCATCCATCTGTCCATCTGTCCATCCATCCATCCATCTGTCCATCCATCCACCCATCCATCTGTCCATCCATCCATCCATCTGTCCACCCACCCACCCATCCATCCATTCACCCATCCATCCATCTGTCCACCCACCCACCCATCCATCCATTCACCCATCCATCCATCTGTCCATCCATCTGTCCACCCATCCATCCATCCATTCACCCATCCATCTGTCCACCCATCCACCCATCCATCCATCCACCCACCCATCCACCAACCCAGCACCCACCCAGCCATCCTCCCACACTCCATCCATCTGACCCCACTCACTTCCCTTTTGCCTCCCTTCCCACAGTCACTCCAGGGTCTGTGGGATCTCTGAACGCAGAGGTGCCTCGTGGTTCGAGGTCACAGTTGCTTCTGCAGGGCCCTTTCTGTGCCTTCGGGCCCAGCAGGGCGAGAAGCTGCAGCTCTCCGGTGCCAAGATTTGGTAGTAGGCATTCTAACCGATGCCAAGCAGAACGGATGGACCGCTGGCCCCACGGAGCAGCTTCTAGAATGCTACCCTGAGGAGTCCGACTCTGGAGGGGATGAGTAGGGTGGGGAAATTGTTTGTGAATATACAGGACCAAGTGTTCTGGTCAAAGCCAGCGTTGGTAAGATGGTGGTTTGTTGTCCCTGTAGCCGTTCCTGCCCACATGGAGGTGAAGTGGTACACGCTGATTGGTCACTCTGTCACTGTCAGCAGGAGGCCCATTGGCTAGCAGGATGACACTCTAGCCAACGGGAGCCAGGGAGGGGAGCATGGCCAGCCCATTGCTCAGATACACATGCCCGCGAGTCAGAACCTGTCATGGAGATACCTGTCTCACTGTCTAGAACCCGGCGGGCTACGGCTCTAAGGGTGCGAGCAGGTCAGGTCTTGGCGTGGTCAGGCGAGTGCCCAGCCTGGCGGTTGTCACTTGTGGGAGGGTGCTGGGACTGGGAGGCGCCGTCTGCCCAGGCGCTGGCAGATGGCAATCCAAGTGACCTCTGCCATGTGTGTGGGAAGAGTGCTGTGCTCCTGGCACCCAGAACGCCCTCTGTCACTCTTCCTTCCAAATCAATTCTTTTTTTTTATAAGATTTATTTATTTTTATTGCAAAGTCAGATATACAGAGAAAAGGAAAGACAGAAAGGAAGATCTTCTGTCTGATGATTCACTCCCCAAGTGGCTGCAATGGCCAGAGCTGAGCTGATCTGAAGCCAGGAGCTTCTTTCAGGTCTCCCACACAGGTGCAGGGTCCCAAGGCTTTGGGCCGTCCTCCACTGCTTTCCCAGGCCACAGGCAGGGAGCTGGATGGGAAGTGGAGCAGCCGGGACGTGAACCGGTGTCCTTATGGGATGCCAGCACCGCAGGCAGAGGCTCTGCCGGGTTGTGCCACCGTCTTGGTTGCTGGTATGGAATCTGAACTAAGGAGTTCTGTGCTAGGCTGTACACACAGCCCTGAGGCTCAGTCCCCTCCCCTGAGCAGGGGCGCCCCTGGCTGCAGCGTCAGACGTGCCTGTGGGGGTCACTGCCGTTATCTCTTGGGGGCTGTAGGCATCACGGCCATGACATGGAGTGAGGAGGAGAAGCTGCTGGTGGTGGGCACCCAGGACGGCATCGTGGTGGTATGGGACGTGCAGGAGGAGCAACTGGTTCATTTTCTAACCGGGCACTCAGGTGAGGCTTACCCTGGGGTCCCCCATGTGGGTGCAGGGTCCCAAGGCTTTAAACCAACGTCCACTGCCTTTCCCAGGCACATTGGCAGAGAGCTAGATGGGAATTAGAACAGCCGGGACTTGAACCTGGTGCTTTCCATGTAGGATCTGGCATCCCAAGCATTGGCCTAACCCACTGTGCTACAATGCCAAGCCCACACTCTCCCCCATGCAGTAGGAGGGATCCCAGCAGCCAAGGGTTCTGAGATAAATCAGTGAGTTCCCCTGCTCTCTGCCTGTGCTCCCCATCCCACAGGCGCTGTGAGGTGTCTGCGAGTCTTTGCCGGGGGCACACGTGCCCTCTCTGCCTCTAGCGACCGCTCCCTGCGCCTGTGGGACCTGCGGTCTGGCCGACGGGAATTCTGCCTCACGATGGACGCGGAGGGCAGCTTGCCGTGCGACCCCGGCCCACGCTCCTGGAGCCTGCACGTGGACGAGGCCAGTGGGATCGTGTACGCAGCCATGGGCTCCAAGGTAACGAATATCTGCTCTCCTGGGAAGTAAGGCCAGATGGGGGCATGGGGCCTGCTTCCCCAAAGAGGGGCTCGTGGAAATGCAGAGGGGCTCGTGGAAATGCAGAGGAGCTTACGGGAAATGAGGACCTCATGCTACTGTAGTGGGTGAGATGAAGGAGAGAGATCTTCCATTCACTGGCTAATTCTGCAGAATGGCTGTGACGGCTACAGCCAGGAGCCAGGAGCCTCCTCCGGGTCTCCCACGCAGGTGCAGGGCCCAAAGGTTTTGGGCCGTCCTCCACTGCTTTCCCTGGCCACAGGCAGGGAGCTGGATGGGAAGTGGGGCCCATATGGGATCCCGGTGCGTGGAAAACGAGCATTTAGCCACTAGGCTACCATGCTGGGCTCTCAGCTTTGACATTTGTTAATTTGTAAGGTAGAGTTAAGAGAGAGAAAGAAACAGAGAAAGATCTTACTGGATCATTTCCCAGATGCCCACAATAGCCGGGGCTGGGCCAGGCCGAAGCCAGGGGTCAGGAGCCTCTCCTGGGTCTCCCACATGGCCGCAGGGACGAAAGCACTTAAGCCATCCTCCGCTCTGCTTTCCCGTGCGCTTGAGCAGAGAGCTGGATGGAAAGCGAAGCAGCCGGGACTTGAACTCGTACAGGCGGTGGCTCTATTGCCCATGCCACAAGCCCTGTTGCGTCTCTTCATGCCTGTCTAGTTAAGACAGAGCGGTGAACGCAGGGAGAGAGCTGGACCTTGCACTGGCCTCGGACAGCTGCAGCTGGGTCTCCGGCTTCCTCTGTGCCTCCATCCCAGATCAGTGCCTGGAAGCTGCCAAGCGCCGAGCTCACCTTCTGCGTCGCAGGGGATGCCGCCGACCCCTGGCTCTGCACGGCCCTGCTGGCTGGCCAGGCCGGGTTGCTGGCCGTGTCCCGAGGAGGAGTGGTCCGCCTGTGGCACTCGGCCACGGGGAGCCCGCAGGGGGAGCAGCGCATGTCCGGCGTGGGAGCAGACGGGGTCCCCACCTGTGCTGTCTCGGGCCAGAGGCAAGGACTGGTGGTCATTGGATTCAGCGACGGCTCTGTCTCCTTGGTAAGTGATTCTGCCAGCTGGCCGTGGTACCGACAGCTCGGTCGTGTGCAGGTGGCCTGCAAGCCAGGAGATGTGAAGGGCAGAGAGAAAGGAAGAGAGACGGAGAGATGGAGAGAGAGGGACAGGGAAAGAGGGAGCAGGAAGAGAACTTCCATCCACTGGTCACTCACCAAATCTCTCCAATAGTTAAGACTGGGCCAGGCGAAGCCAGGAGCCAGGAAATCGAGCTGGGTCCCCCATGGGTACCGGGCCTACTGTCTTCCCGGGCGATAGGGAGCTGATCTGAAGCCAAGCCTGGACTCAAGCTGTCACTCTCACACAGGATACCAGCACCGCAGGCATCCTAAAGTGCTGTGCCACACCTGGAAGCCTCAGCGACTCCCCACATCTCCCCCCTGGGCTGGGGACCAGCCTCCCACCGTGCTGCCCCCCAGGCATGCCTCAGACCTCATCCAGGGCCCAGCAGAACGCACCCCTGGCTCCCCGCTGTGTCTCCCTCCTCCACGCGGGCTGCCGAGCCTGGGGGCTGTGAGCCTCCGGTCCCGGAACACTCCCAACAGCAGGGATGGCCCCCATAACAGTCGCCACCGCTGGCGAGGGCTGGGTCCTACTGAGACGACCCCCAGGCCTGTGAGTTTTGAGACAGGCATCTCACACCCGCCACAGGTTTCCATCAAAGGAGACAGATTGCTGGAGAAGGTTCCGGAAGCTGTGGGGTGCCTGGCACTCTCCAAGGACGAGTCCCTCCTGGCTGCAGGTGCAGTTTGGGTCTCCTGGCGCAGGTGCAGAGTGGGCTGGGGGACGGGCGTGCGAGGTGCCCAGTTGGAGTGGCACCTCTGGCTCCTGGCGGTGGCTCACTGGTCACACACACGGTCGGTCACATCTGCTCTCCTCCAGAACTGCCTTTGTCACCGTCTAACAGGACCCCACATCCCCAGTAAGCAACGATGCTCTGTCAGACCCTAGAACTTTCTAGAATATTCCAAGTGTTAGACGCTAATTCTCATGTCAGGTCCTCCCCTGAGCTACAGGATGTCGGGGACAGCTCAGGTCAGCCGAGCTGGCATGAGTGTCCGTGAGTGCAAGCTTCCGAAAGTCTGTGGAATAAGCATACCAAAGGACCCGCTGCACGGAGTGTCCAGCCCTGCTGTTCAGGATGACCTTTTAAAGCAAATTTTATTGGAAAGGCTGATTTACAGAAAGGAGAGACAGAAACCATCTACTGATCGCTCCCCAAGTGGCTGCTGTGGCCAGAGCTGAGCTGACCTAAAGGCAGGAGCCAGGAGCCTCTTCAGGGTCTCCCACCCGGGTGCAGGGTCCCAAGGCTGTGGGCCGTCCTCCACTGCTTTCCCAGGCCACAGGCAGGGAGCTGGGTGGGAAGTGGGGCCACTGGGATTAGAACCAGGGTCCCTATGGGATCCCGGTGCTTGCAAAGCAGAGGATTATCCACTCGAGCCATTGCACCATGCCCAGCCCTCATTTGTTATTTTGTTAGTTTCATCAAGTTTTTTTTTTTTACATGTTTGTACCTGAAAGATGGAGACATAGAAAAACAAGATAGGAACTCTCTTTCCATAGTTTTCTCAAAAATGTTCTGACAGCTGGGCAGCATCGGAGGGACTCCACCCTCCCTCCTCCCGGCCCCGAGGCCACGCCCACTCAAAGCCACGCCCCGTCCCTCCCAGCCACGCCCACCGGAGCCACGCCCCATGGCCCCTTCCTCCTGCAGGCAGTCCTGGCCATCCTGGACACAGCGTCCCGGTGCTGGCGTCGGGGTGACAGGTGGCTGTGTGCTCCTCCCGCCGGGCCGCCTGGGTCACCTCCGGCTGCCGGCCCTGCCCTGCCGTTCCAGGCTTCGGCAGCTGCGTGCGGCTCCTCCTGGCCGACACGCAGGCTTTCCAGCGCTTCGGGGCCGCAGACCTGCAGCACGAGGCGGCCGTGGAGTCGGCCGTGTTTGGGCCTGAGAACAACCTGCTGGTCACAGCATCCCGGGATGCACGCATTCAGGTACAGGCTGATCCGTGACCCCGGGCCCTTCCCTCGGCCTCTGCACTGGAAAATGCAATTCCACGAAAGACCCTGGGGTGCTCTGTGGGTTCCCCGAGCAGGAGGGTGGCAGGAGGTGAAGGGCTCAGGCCGCAGCCTACGGGTGGACAGAGAGGACAGGTCGGCCTCTCTCTCCTCCACTGTGTCGCCAGGTGTGGAGTGTGTCTGAGCAGGGCAGTTTGCTGGCCATCCTGGACGGCATCGGGAGCCTGCTGGCCCGCGGAGGGTCGTTGGTGGCGTCCGCCTCACCGGAGGCAGCCACCTTCACCGTCTGGGACCTCGGCCGCGTGCCAAGGGCCGGGGCCTCAGCCACCTTCCTGGACCGCACGGGACTCACTGCCGTGTCCCACCAGGGCGCCTACCTCTATTACCCCAGGGTCGGGGACAAGCGCAAAGTCACCGTGTGGGACGTGGCGGCAGGTGTGTGAAACACGTGGGTGCACAGTGAGAACCAGGGATCCTGCCTGCCAGCCTCGTGGATGGTGGGGTGGCACGGGGCCCCGCTCACCTTGGGTCCTGCTCACGGGTGCCCTCGTCGAACGCCATAAGGCAACAGCCCTCCAATATATATTTTTTAAAGACTTATTTATTTTTATTGCAAAGTCAGATATGCAGAGAGGAGGGGAGACAGAGAGATCTTCCACCTGCTGGTTCACTCCTCAAGTGGCCGTAACGGCCAGAGCTGAGCCGATCTGAAACCAGGAGTCAGGAGCTCTTCTGGGTCTCCCACGCGGGTGCAAGGTCCCAAGGCTCTGGGCCGTCCTCCACTGCTTTCCCAGGCCACAGGCAGGGAGCTGGATGGGAAGTGGAGCAGCCAGGATTAGAACTGGCGCTCATATGGGATCCGGGGAAGAGTTTAACTACTAGGCTACTGTGCCAGGCCCTATTTATTTGTTTATAAGAAAAGCATGATGGTGAGGGAGGGAGGATGGGCCCAGGGGAGCCGGCAGCACCAGGTTGGAGGGAAGGGGTCATGAGGGTATTTTAAAGGCCTTTTGGGCACACGCAGAAGCAGTGTGCTATGACTGCTCGCTCTGTCTGGTGCCCCTGCAGGTGAGGAGCGAGACGTGCTGGACGCGTCCAGCGAGGTCCGGTGTGTGGAGGTGGCCGAGCAGACCCAGCTGCTGTTGGCCGGCCTTGCGTCCGGAGTTGTGCTCCTGGTCCCCCTCACGTCCAGGCAGGACGTGGTCTGCGTCCCCCCTCCCGAGGCCCGCCGCGCCGTCACGTGCCTGTCCCTGGACAAGCGCGAGACCCGCCTGGCCGTCGCCTACGACAACCTGGTGCAGGTGCTGGACATCGGCCCCGGGGATCCCTGCCCGGTCGTCGAGGGGCCCACGTACACCTTCTACACACAGCTGCCCGAGAGCATCACCTGCCTGGCCGTGCTGGGTGACTGCCGTGTGCTCTACGGCATGAGCCGCGGCGAGATCTTCCTGTACCAGTGCACCGGCGCCAGGGTGTGCGCCCTGGAGGCGCATGGCGGCCGCGTCACCTGCCTGCATGTCAGCCACGGGGAGCAGCTGGCCGTGAGCGGCGCCGAGGATGCCCTGCTCTGCCTGTGGGACCTGCAGGCGGGCAGGTGCACGGCCGAGATGGGCTACATGGTGCGTGCCTGGCAGCGAGCCCTTCCTGCCGGCCTGGGGATGGGGGAGAGAGAGAGAGAGAGAGAGAGAGAGAGAGCTTCCATCTGCTGCGTCACTCCCCAAAGGGCCACAATGGCTGGAGCTGCTCCAGTGCAAAGCTAGGGGCTCCATCTGGGTCTCCCCATATGGGTGCTGAGGCCCAAGCACTGGGGCGGTCGTCTTACTAGAGCTGCGTTGGAAGTGGAACAGCCAGGACTAGACCCAACACCCATACCCGCTATGCCTTTGCTGTGGAAAGCTGATAAACAGCCTGGCATTTGTTCAATGCAGATCGCACGGATTGAAAATTATTGAAAGATTTGTCTGAGGGGCTGGCATCGTGGCTCAGCAGCCCAAACCTCCATCCTGTATGCGTGCCGGTTCAAGTCCCGGCTGCTCCACTTGCCATCCAGCTCCCTGCCTGTGACCTGGGAAAGCAGTGGAGGACGGCCCAAAGCCTTGGGACCCTGCACCCGCGTGGGAGACCTGGAAGAAGCTCCTGACTCCTGGCTTTGGATCAGCTCAGCTCTGGCCACTGTGACCACTTGGGGAGTGAACCAGCAGGTGGAAGAGCTTTCTCTCTGTACCTCTGCCTTTTAAATAATTATAATAATAGTAAATCTTAGAAAAAGGGATTTATTTGAAAGGCAGAGTTATAGAGCAAGAGAGAGAGAGACACAGAGAGATGTTCCACCTGCTGGTTCACTCCCCAGATGGCAGCGACAGTCAGGGTCAGGCCAGGCTGAAGCCAGAAGCCGCAACCTCAGACCGGATCTCCCCTGTGGGTGTCAGGGCCCAAGTGCTTCAGCCGTCACCCATTGCTGGAGTTCAAGCCCAAACCCTCTGGTGTGACGCACGCTGTCCCAGCGGGCACGCCAAGGGACATCCCAGCACTGCTCCCGTGGCTCCTGAAGGACTCCAGCCATTCCTCTTTGCTGTCCCAGGATACAAACCGAGCCCTGCGTGACCACAGCGGTCACTGCTGGGGATGCACCCAAGGTCCTTCTAGCAAGGGAGGCCTCCGAGTCTCGTGTCCTCTCCTCCTCACCCTGAAACCATCGAGATGACACTGGGCCAGGACCCCAGGAAAGCAAGAAAGGCAGCAGCTCCCCTGTGTGTGAGGGGTCGTCCAGGCCCGGGCCCGTGGGTGGGGCTAGGGGCAGCCCTGCCGCCCGCTGTCCGGCTCTCAGCCCCCTGACGTGTCCCCCGCAGGCTGCTCCGAGCTGCTGCGACGTCCTGACTGCCTGCTTCTCCCAGAATGACAAGTACGTGTACGCAGGCCTGAAGGACGGATCTGTGATTGTCTGCAGCACGCTGGACGGTGAGCAGCTCCCTTTGCGCCCCAGGGAGAGCCATGCAGAGCCTCGCTTTGGGGTGCTTTCCACAGGCCCCCAAGGATGAACCCGTGACCCCCAGTGGGACTCCCCCTGCCTTGAATCTGCTCATGGCTGCACACAGGCCTCTGGCCCCAGTGGGCACCCTGCACGTAAACTGTGCCCTTGGCGTGTGGGCATCTTTGGGTGTGGTTGAAGATTTACTGATTTTAATTTGAAAGGCAGATTTTAAAGCCACCTGGTGCGGTGGCTCAGTGGCTAAGGTCCTCGCCTTGAATGCGCTGGGATCCCATATGGGCACCGGTTCAAATCCGGGCTGTTCCATTTCCTACCCAGCTCCCTGCCTGTGACCTGGGAAAGCAGTGGAGGACGGCCCAAAGCTTTGGGACCCTGCACCCGCGTGGGAGACCCGGAAGAAGCTCCTGGCTCCTGGCTTTGGATCGGCTCAGCTCTGACTGTTATGCTCACTTAGGGAGTGAACCAGCAGGCGGAAGATCTTCCTCACCGTCTCTCCTCTCTGTATATCTGACTTTCTAATTAACAAATAAATCTTTTTTAGAAAAAAAAAAAAAAGAAAGGCAGATTTTGCAGATTAAAAGATCTTCCATCTGCTGGTTCACTCCGCAAGTGATGGCTGGAGCTGGTCGACCCAAAGCCAGGCTTTTCCTGGGTCTCCCACATGGGTGCCCAAGCACTTGTGCCATCCTCTGCCGTCCCACACATGTATCAGGAGGGAGCCGCAGGGGAAGTGGAGCAGCTGGTTCTGGAACTGGCAGCCATGAGGATGATGCTGGCATGGCAGACAGAGGCTTAGCCTGTGATGCCGCAACGCTGACCCCTCAGTCTGTTTGACTTGTCCCAGTCCTGGCCAATGAACCAGTGGACGAAAGATCTCTTTCTCAATCTAAAACTCTACCCTTCAAATAAACAAATGCATTAAACACACACACACACACCGCAGGGTTTACAGAGTTCACACTGGACAGAAACCTGTCCTTTGGTGTCCTTTGGTCTTCGAAACCCCCTGTGTGAGCAGGTGCAGTCTTGTGCGCTTGGCGGAGCAGGTGGGAGTGTTAAGTGTGATGTGAGAGCCCCTGAGCGGGCGTGCAGCCAGCAAGGGCCTTGCTAGGCTGCCTTTCCTTACACATGCCCTCTGGCTTCCCCAGGCTCCCTGCTGACCGTCCAGTTCGCCCACGCCCCAGTGAACAGGATCGTGCCCACCCGCGATGGCTTCATTGCCCCCACGCGAAGCGGTTACGTCCTGCGGGAGTGCTTCCAGCCCTCTGCGTCAAGCCCCAGCCTCCAGCCGGACCCCCTCCGCAGCTTCAAGAAAGCCGTGTGGGTGGTCAGAGCCACGCAGAGGGGAGCGCTGGCCAGGGCGGCACAGACTCCCGGGGACTCGGCATCCCGCAGTGCCCGTGGGCATGGGGCCCGGTCCAACAGGCGCTCGCAAGTCTGCGTGTTGGTGTAGTGGCAACCCCTCTTGGCTGGGTGTGCCAGGACTGCAGTCTGCCTTGATTGACTCGTTCCAGCCTCAGGCCTGCGCTTGCTGGCAGCAGGATGGCCAACGTGCCGCCAATGTTTAGTTTAGTGAGGAAGTAGACTTTTCATTTCCATGAGATTCCAATTCCCTGAGGGCTGGCACCATGGCATAGCACGCTAACTCTCCACCACTACTGTGGTATCCCATAGGGGCGCCAGTTCAAGCCCCGGCTGCTCCACTTCCCATCCAACTCCCTGCCTGTGGCCTGGGAAAGCAGCAGAGAACAGCCCAAAGCCTTGGGACCCTGCACCCGCGTGGGAGACCTGGGAGAGGCTCCTGGCCTTGGGTTGGCTCAGTTCTGGCTGTTGTGGATACACGCTCTCTCTCCTTCTCTCTTTTTGATTTTGCTGTTCCAATAAAAACCTATCTCTAAACTCACAGCCTGGGCTGTTGGCACTCCATCTGGCTGCCTTGCCCGCGCTGGAGTCAATGACTGTCTTGGCAGGAACGCATCTCTCTGGCCGGCTCGACGCAGTCCCCGCCTCTCTGTGCCTGGCGAGGAGACAGCTCCTGTCTCCATCACCCTGCAGGGTGAGCCAGACCGTTGCTGTGGCTCTCCGGGGATGCACGGCCCCCGAAGGCCTAGGCCACGCGGTGTCCTCAGGCCCCCTCGCACAAGCTGCAGTGTACAGTAGGAGCTGCGAGCTGCACAGGACACGAGTTCAAGGTGTGAGAGTCGGAGGAGCCAGGAGCCTCGGGTCCTGGTCCTCTCTCCAGCTGTCATCCTGCAGTCTGGGTTGCCTGCCCGGCAGGTGGCAGTCCAGGTCATGTTGAACCCCTTGGGTGAGCGGGGTGTGGGGGACCCAGTGGAGAAGCAGATATGGAGGACACCAGGCAGACGTGGGTCACCCTGAAACCCTAGCCAGTTTCCCCATGGCTAGACGAACCCCAGGGTCTCATCTTCCTGCATGGTAAGCAAAGCCAGAAACGCAGTCTTGTTTGTCTTGCCATTAAAATATATATATATATATGTATTTGAAAGGCAGAGCTACAGAGAGGATAGGAAAGACCTGAGAGGTCTTCTTCCATCTGCTGATTTACTCCCTAAATGGCTGCCTGAATGAAGCCAGGAGCTTCCTCCAGGTCTCCCACACAGGTGCAGGGTCCCAAGGCTCTGGGCCGTCCTCCACTGCTTTCCCAGGCCGCAGGCAGGGAGCTGGGTGGGAAGTGGAGCAGCCGGGACTTGAACCAGTGCCCATAGGGGATGCTGGCACTGCAGGTGGAGGCTAATTTCTCTATACACCCTGTCCCTCGCGGGAGCCCCGCCCCCTGCCCGTCACCCGTAGCCACGCCCCTCCCTGCCCGTCACCCGGAGCCACGCCCCTCCCTGCCCGTCACCCGGAGCCCCGCCCCGCGCAGACATCCCCGGCCCCGCCCCGGGGCGGAGCGCGCCTGCGCACTGTGCCCTCCGCGGGGGCGGGGCGGCCGCGGCTCCGACTTCCAACATGGCGCAGGCGGGCGGCGGCGGCGGGGGAGCGGCTGGCCGGGGGCTGAGCGGGGCCCGCTGGGGACGCTCGGGCTCAGCGGGCCACGAGAAGCTGCCGGTGCACGTGAGTGCCTCGCCCGCCCGCGGGGACTGTTCCCGAGCCCGTCCCGCGGCGGCTGCGGCAGGCCTGCGCCCCTCACCCCGGGCGCACCCGGGGTCCCGGATCCTCTCACCCCGTGATCACCTCTCCCCCGGGGTCTCCTCACCCAGGCTGCACCCAGGCGCCCTTCATTCCGGGGTCCCCTCGCCCTGCTGCACCTGGGGTCCCCGGTCCCCTCACCCCGTGATCCCCTCTCCCCCGTGATCCCCTCTCTCCCGGGGTCCCTTCGCCCAGGCTGCACCCAGGCGCCCCTCATTGCAGAGTCCCCTCTCCCCCGGGGTCCCCTCGCCCTGCTGCACCTGGGGTCCCCGGTCTCCTCACCCCGTGATCCCCTCTTCCCCGGGGTCCCTTCGCCCAGGCTGCACCCAGGCGCCCCTCATTCCGGGGTCTCCTCGCCCCCGACGTCCCCTCATCCCAGCTGCACCCAGGCACCCCTCGCCCCCGGGGTCCCCTCACCCCACTGCACCCAGGGTCCCCTCACCCTCAGACACCCCTCGCCCCCCGGGTCCCCACACCCCAGCTGCACCCAGGCACCCCTCGCCCCCCGGATCCCCGCGTCCCAGATGCCCCAGCTGTATCCCGGCTTCTCCAGCCTGAGACCCCACAGCCCCGCCTGTGCCTGCAGGTGGAGGACGCGCTGACCTACCTGGACCAGGTGAAGATCCGCTTTGGCAGCGACCCCGCCACCTACAACGGCTTTCTGGAAATCATGAGGGAATTCAAGAGCCAGAGGTAGCCGGGGTTCCCTGCCCGTAGAACTGGGTGCAAGAGGTGGGACACTGCCGGCCCCCCGGTTCCCCGTGCAGCTCACCCTGCCGTGGGCTCCTCCCCCCTCCGCCCCCAAAATCAATAATCATAATCATAATAAATGAGGTAGTTTTTTTAAGAAGCAGGAAAGGGTCATAGCTGTGTTCTGTCGCACACTTGGGGGTGGGATGGGAAGGGGGAAGTTTGTCCTTATTGAAAGATACCAATTTTTTTAAAATACGTTTGCTTTTGAAGAATCAGTTTTGTCTGTGAAAAGATGGAGGTGGAATTAGTTTTGTGCACGTATATGTGTGTGTATACGTAATTGTAAGTACATGCAGTTGACCAAGCACTGCACTAGAGTCTTACTGATGGCAGTGGCTGGCATTTTTGGCTGCGTCTTCCTGGTTGAATGTTGTCCCCCCCGCTGTCACCCTGGCCCCTAGTCCCCGGCCTGTGTGTTTGCAATGCTATACTTGTCCGCAAGCCCCTGGCACTGGGGTTGAGAGAGTAGGGGTTCTGGGGTACCACTGTCATGTTGGGGACCCTCAGCGGCTCGGGGCCGCCTTGGAAGAGGCAGGACTAGAACTTGGGCCCTCGTGGTCTCGGGTTGTCATCGATAGGAAAGGTAGAGCGGGAGGCACAATGAGGACAAGCTCTTCCATGTGTTGGTTCTGTCTCCCCTTGGCTGCAACAGCCAGGCTGCTTCTGGGAGCCAGGAGCCTCTTCCGGGTCTCCCCCGCGGGTGCAGGGTCCCAAGGCTGTGGGCCGTCCTCCGCTGCTTTCCCAGGCCACAGGCAGGGAGCTGGGTGGGAAGTGGAGCAGCCGGGCTAGGAACTGCGCGTGCAGGCGTCCCAGGCTGAGCTGGGCTGAGGCTTTGAGGGTGGTTGGCAGCCAGGAGAGTGACCCTGCTGTCTGCTGGGGCATAATCCCCCTGGATTCCTGCAGCCAGGAGGGAGTCGCCTGGGGTTTGGAAGGTGATGACCACTGGCTGTGGCCGGAGGCCCCCACACACCAAGAGCTGGAGCGTTTGGAGGTGCTGTGCTGCGTGGGCAGTGGGGAGGGGCCCCTCGGTCCCCTGGCATGACAGCACACCAGGAGCACCCCGCTGGCTGCCTTGCCACGGTGTCTGCTCCTCACAGCACATCTCTCTCTCTCTCAGCATCGACACCCCAGGGGTCATCAGGCGCGTGTCGCAGCTCTTCCACGAGCACCCCGACCTCATCGTGGGGTTCAACGCCTTCCTGCCTCTCGGGTACAGAATAGACATCCCCAAGAACGGCAAGCTGAACGTGCAGTCGCCGCTGCCCAGCCAGGTAGGCGCTGCACCTGCTGTGCATACAGCTGGCGCCCTCGGTTTGCATCCTTTGCTGGACAGAGCCCATCAGTGGCTTCTGCTTCCGGGGCACCAGTCACAATAGGGTGCGTCTTCCTCCCCCGAGGCCGGCCCTCTAGCCCTGGCCCAAGGCCTGTGGCAGAGTGGACTGAGGGTGTGTGCGTGTGTGTGTGCACGCACACGTAGCGGGTGGTCCCTGTTCACACAGAATGTTGGCTCGCCCCGTGTACCAGGCAGGGCTGCCCTTGTACTTGGCCGTGCGGTCACGGCGCGGGCTGAGCTTCGTTGGCCTGCTTGTAGTGCAACCTGTGGCCGCGGTGCAGTCTCCCTGCTGAGCCCACCGGCCCCTCATCGCTTGGTGCCATCTGTGGCATAACTGGCAGTGCCAGGGGGTGCCCGTCCTCAACGCCATCCCTGCGTCATGCCAGCTGGCTGAATCGGCCCTGTTGCAACCTCTGTTCTAGCCCAGCCACCTCTTTCCTCCTTGCCCCCAGTCCCTGCCCTGCCCAGTGTCTGCGCCATGTACAAATGAGGACACCAGGAGTGATTGGCTCTCGTACCAGGGACCAGCGTTGAGTGGCAAAAGGAGCCATGGGCTGGGAGTCAGGCTGGCCACCACCCTGCTTTGGCAGTCATGGGACAGGTATCCTAGCGCAGCCTGACAGTGATGGGGCAGGTGTGTCCCTGTAGGAGAGGTGTGTCCCTGCAGGTGGCAGGTGTGTCCCTGCTGGTGGCAGGTGTGTCCCTGTAGGGCGCCCAGTCCTGCTCCTAGTTCTGCCCAGGTGTATCCCTGTACGGGCGCCTGGTCCTGCTCCTAGTTCTGTCCTTTCACACTGCCTGAGGTGACACAGGTGACACGTATGTCCTTCAGGTCCCCCGGACTTCGTGCCAGTGGCCCTGGGACCCGCTGACCTCTCTCCCAGGCCTCGCAGGCGTCCCGCGTCGGTCACTGCCGGCCTGGACTAGCTTGTGCCACCTAGTGGTCACTCTTGTGCCCTGCGGTGTGGACCAGCTGGTCTGCTGGTTGCAGGTTGCGTCCGGCCGTCTGGCCGCAGGAGGAGCGGCTGGTGGCGTGCATGGCATTCGAGGCATATCCTCAGGGCAGTGGGGGGATGGCAGGGAGGCTGAGCTGGGCCGTGGACCGTGGCAAGCAGTAGCCCCAGAGGCCCCCCGAAGTCAGAAATGCTTCCCTTTGTTTCCGGGGGCACCCTAAAACAGAGTGCACACCCCCTCCCAGCAGAAGATTCTGGGGGACATGGAGGCTCCCCTGTGACGTAGGGCCGGGGTACATGGAGAAGTGCGGCCCGGTGCCCTGGGAGATTCAGCCTGTCGCACGGGGGGCGGTTATGGTGACTGTTCAGCTCACTCCCCGTGTGGCCTGTGCTGGACCCAGTGGGCAGGCTCCCGCTGGGTGGCGTGGGCCGCCCACGTGGGACAGGCGTGTTCAGTGTTAGCCCGGCCTGCTCACTGTCCGCCCGCTGCGACGCGGGGTCTCCCACAAGTGGCCGTGGCTTCCACGTTGTCCTCAAGGCACCCCGGAGGAGCCAGACCTGGGGGGACAGAGCAGCTGTGACCTTCGGCCCCGACGGTTCCCAGGTGGCGGTCACTTGCTTCCAGCCCTACCCGGGCTTCCTTGGAGCCCGAACTCTGCCACACCGGCGAGGGGCAGACGGCAGGGCAGGGTCGAGGGCAAGACCGTGGAGTGGCCGTGGGGGAGGACGGAGCAGCTGCCCTCCTGGGCCAGTGTCCGGGCCGCCCAGGGTTCCTGTCGGCTGAGAAGGAACACTCTGGCTGGTCCCTGTTGCCCTCAAGGCCAAAGCCGGCTGGGCTCTGCAGAGGGAGTGGTCTGTGTCTGGTCTGTTTTGTATTTTCCAAGGTTCACGTTAAACAAGGTTGCAAAGCCCAAAGCCCCGCAGTGCCTGCTGGCGTGGGCTGGGTCTTACGGTGGGATTCTGGTGTCCTCACTGTTATCACACAGCCAGTTCCACCAGCGATTCCAGAATGTTCCGGCCGGCCCTCCTCCCCCTGCCCGGCTTGCTAGCTCTGGCTTTCCTTGCTGGGGAGTCCCACGGCACGGGGCCTTTCCTGGGGTGGTGTGGGGAGGCGCTGCGGGCTACAGCTCAGTCCCTTGTTCCAGCCGAGCGACTGACGGGCAGGCACCTTTTGTTTACCTGCCTGTCCACCGCCTCCAGGCACTTGAGTCATTTCCAGAACGTTCTTGGCGCTGGAATGGTGCTGAAGAACACCCATATGGGGGCTGTGGGACCGGCTACCTGCAGCCCCTCAGGCACGCAGTCGGCCACCAGCTGTGTGGCCATGTGTGGCTGCCCTGCTGCCCCGGGTGCCCCTGGTGCCCTGGCTGCCCCCATGTGCCCAAGCTGCCCTGTGTGTGCTTGCTGCCCGTGTGTGGCTGCCCTGCTGCCGCCGACACACAGAAGTGACTCGCATTCACACTCCAGCCTTGGAGCCGGGAGCTTGGCTCTCGAGCCCGGGTAGGCACTGCGTTGGCTGCTCCCCACAGGGGAGGCCGGGTAGGTGGCAGGCTCAGCCCCCGCGCAGGCCCACGGAGCCGGCCGTGGGAGGTGACACCAAGATGACATGCAGGCCGAACCACGCGCTTGCACGGGAGGGCCCTTCCCCTGGCTGGACGTCAGTGTGGGCAGCACCCTGCGGATGCGAGGGCTGGCTTTGTCCGGACAGGACCGCCCTGGGGGCAGGGAGGTGGGGGAGCCGCCCCTGGGAGCAGAGGCCAGCCGGCAGCAGACACACGCAGCCGAGACCGTGTGAGGACGGAGCTCCCAGCTGGGGAGCTGCCCGGCCCCCTGCCCAGGATGCTGTGCTGTGGAGGCCAGCGCCGCCGCCCCCCACCCCGGCGTGGCTGTGCCTGCTGCCGGGACCCCTCGGTGGCTCGGAGCGGTGGTGCCCAGGAGGTCGCTGGGCAGGGATCCAGGCAGGTGGCCGATGGCCCCCGGGGAGCCTCCAGCCAGCGGCCCCGCCATTACCCGTCGCAGCCTGAGCCCGCTGCCCAGCGGGGAGGGTGCAGTCGTGTGGTGAGTGATGTGAGGAGGGTTGAACAGGGCAGCCAGGACACTCCTGCTTGGGCACGGTGCTTCTGGGGTATTCCCGAGGAGTCTGGTGGGGGTGCCCTGCCCTGCTGTGTGGCCCGGGTGGGAAACCTGGGGCCACCTCCAGGTCGCGGAGGGAGGCGTTGTTTTAAGATGTGTGTGTGTTTTGCTAGAGGGAGAGAAGTCTCCCGTCTGCTGGTTCCCAGTGGCCGGTACTGGGCCAGGCTGGAGCCAGGAGCTTCTTCCGGGTCCCCGCTGTGGGTGCAGGGGCGTGAGCAGGGAGCTGGATGGGAAGTGGAACAGCCGGGACACAAACCAGAGTGCTGGCTCTACAGGCAGTGGTTGAACTGCCTGTGCCACGGCGTGGGTCCCTGGACAGACCAGGGCACTTGAACAAGTTCATGGGGGGCCTTGGGGGGAGCGTGAGGCTCCGCAGCAAAGACACCCACATCCTCCACAGCCCTGGAGCGCTGCCCAAACACGTCACCTGTCTCTTGCCTCTTATAGGCCCTGGGGGCGGGGCAAGTTTCATTGCTAAAGCCTACTTTGGTGCAGAAATGCTTGCTGCCTGGGGGCTCTTCCACGTGCCCCGTGCTCAGGTAGAAGGGTGGCCCCGGGTGTCACTCAGGTGGCCGAAGACATGGCTCTTGGTGCCAGGAGCCTAGGACTTGGCACCTGGGAACCGCTGGGTCCCAGCCTGCCCGTGGGGTCCCAGCCTGCCCGTGGGGTCCCCAGCCTGCACGTGAGGTCCCCATGGCCAGCCCAGGCAGCCCAGCACTTAGCAGAGCATGAGCCCCGGGACCAGGCGTTCCCGGATGCATTTGGAAAGGGGCTGTGGTGAGCGTGGGTGGGGGATAAGCCTGTGGTTGTGGTGGGCCTGTCTGTGCCTCCCCCCACCACCCACCGCCCGCGGTCCCGGGTGGGATGTGGGTGACGTGTCCCGGCTCCTCTTCCTCGTAGGAGAACTCGCACGGCCACGGTGACTGCCCCGAGGACCTGAAGCAGCCGGCGCCCTACAGGGAGGACAGGCCCCCAGTGCCTCTGGAGTCGGACTCAGTGGAGTTCAACAACGCCATCAGCTACGTGAACAAGATCAAGACCCGCTTCCTGGACCACCCGGAGATCTACCGGGCCTTCCTGGAGATCCTGCACACCTACCAGGTGGGCCGGGCCGGGCTGCCCCCACAGAGATGGCTCTTCACCCACCTGTCCTGCCCTGGGACTGGGTCGGGTCCAAGCCAGGAGCCTCTTCCGGGTCTCCCACGCGGGTGCAGGGTCCCAAGGCTGTGGGCCGTCCTCCACTGCTTTCCCAGGCCACAGGCAGGGAGCTGGATGGGAAGCGGGGCCACCAGGACTCCAACCGGTGCTTGGTTGGGATGGCGGTGCCATGCGCAGCACTGTGGCTGTCCTGATCTGGTTTTGAGTTTGCTGCTTAGAGCTCTTCTGTGTCCAGCAAGTCCCAGCAAACACATGGCAGCAGGCAGTCTCACGTGTCGATGCGCCTCAGGGTCTGATAGCCTGGCAGCTCACCCCAGTGCCAGGAGGCGGGATGGGGGACAGAGTGGGTGTCAGCACCCACAGAAACATGGGGACCCCTGTGCCCTCGGGCCGGGCTGTCCGTCTTCCCCCATCGCTAACTCCTTCCCCCAAGACCTTGTCACCGTCCCCCCTTCCTCTCCCAGTCAGCCCACCTGCGCAGCCCGGCCCACCGCCCGCTCCCTGTTGGGCATATGGCAGTGGCCTTGGGTCTGACCCCAGCCGTGGCCATGGTGGGCTGAAGCTGGGCACCTCGATTCCTGGCTAACCACCCCCTCCCTGCCTCTTCCCCTCCCCTCCCCTCCTCTTTCTTCTCCCCCTCCCCTCCCCTCTCCTCCCCTCCTCTCTCCTCCGCCTTCCCTTCCCTTCCCCTCCCTTGTGGTCACAGAAGGAGCAGCTGAGTGCCAAGGGCCGGCCGTTCCGGGGCATGTCGGAGGAGGAGGTGTTCACGGAGGTGGCCAGCCTCTTCCGTGGCCAGGAAGACCTGCTCTCCGAGTTCGGCCAGTTCTTGCCTGAAGCTAAGCGGTCCCTGGTGAGTGCCTGGGGTCTGGGCCAGGTCCGTCCGCCCCCACTGCCCTTCCCGTGACCCCGGGCCCCACAGGATGGCCATCCCCTCATGTTTCAGAGGAGTGGGCCCCGCGGGGACAGAGAGCCAGGAGTGGAGCAGCCGTGGCCCTGCCAGGTCCCTTAGCCAGGCCCCGGCCCAAGGAGCCTTGGGAGTGCATCAGACAATTGAGGGGGTTGGCTAAGGGTGCCCCCTGCCTCTGGAGGCTAGATGGGGGGTCCCCCCTCTGCCTTCTCTCCGTGTGGGACGGCATTGGCCCCCGGCCTGAATGGAAGGCCAGGGGGTGTCTCCCCTTGCCCCCATCCCAGCTGCTCTCCATAAATGTAAGCTCCCACAACGGCTTTCTCTGCCCTTCCAGAAAGTTCTTCCTGACACTCACACAGAAGCCCCGGAGGGAGGGCATCTTGTCTACCCTGCCCTCTGAGTTTGGGGAGGGGTCCTTGTCCTTACGAAGATTGATTTATCTTATTTGAAAGGCCAAGAGACAGAGACAGATGGCAGCATCTGCAGTAGCACAGCAGCCAGGGCTGAGCCCGGCACGTTGGTCAGGGGCCAGGTGTCTCAACGGGCCGCCCCCCGCTGCCTTCCCAGGCAGTCAGACAGGGAGCGGGCTGGAATCGGCGCTCACAGGGGACGCTGGCGTCAGAGGCGGGCCACAGCTGCCGCTGTCTGACGCACTCGTGTCCGGTCGGCCATCCCAGAGATGCAGGTGTCCAGGCCGAGTGGCCTGGAGCCGCCTGCTCCTCCAGGGCTCAGAACTGCCTCCCACGGAGGCCGCCACCGCTGTAATGCCATTTGTCACTGTGAGAAAAACATCTTGGCAGGCACTCGGACACCCCGGATCAGAGGGCCGGGTCCGAGCCCCACTGCCACGCCAAAGACAGCTCCTCGCTACTGCGCCCTGCCTGAGCCCCGAGCACCCTGCAGCCTGCTGGGTGCAAGTGGGCACCTCCCAGGGGGACATCACCCCTCGTAGCGGGCCCCGGCACGTGGCCATGTCCACCGCCTCGCCCCACGCGCGTGGCCTCCCGTGTCCTCAGTTCACAGGCAGCGGGGCCTGCGAGATGAGCAGCATCCCCGCAGCTGGCCACGACCGCGGCCTGGAGGCCAGCAGGAAGCGCTCCCGGCCCTCACTGCTGCGCCCGGTGCCAGCGCCGGCCAAGGTGAGTCGGGGGCACCCCGGGTGGCGGGCGGGGCGGTGGGGAGCAGGCAGGGCCGGAGCTGCACAAGTGACCGCGGGGTCTGTCTCCGCAGAAGAAGATGAAGCTGCGAGGTAACAAAGACCTGTCCATCGCCAGCGTGGGCAAGTACGGGACCCTGCAGGAGTTCTCCTTTTTCGACAAGGTCAGGGCCAGGCTGGGGCGGGAGGCAGGGTTCGGGGTGTGGGGCGTGGTGGGGCTCAGGGAGCAGGGCCGGGGGAGGCGCCCCCCAGCATGTCCCCTGCCGGGCGGGCTGCTCACTGGAGCCCCTGCAGGTGCGCCGCGTGCTCAAGAGCCAGGAGGTGTACGAGAACTTCCTACGGTGCATAGCGCTCTTCAACCAGGAGCTGGTGTCCGGCTCGGAGCTGCTGCAGCTGGTCAGCCCGTTCCTCGGGTGAGGCCCGGCCCCGCATCCCGGACACGCTGTGTCGGGGGCCTCCTTGGTCATCGGCTTCTGTCGGAGCTTCACATCCCGCCCTGTGCCCGGGTGTCCGGCTGCGAGGTCCCTGGCTCCCCAGCCCGCTTCCTGCAGCGTGCACGGCTGCAGCGGGGCTGGCCACGGTTCCGTGTGACACAGTGCCCAGTCACGGGGATCTGACATGGGTCCTCGCACACAGTGCGGGAGTGTGCGTGCTAGTAAAAACCTACTCGGAAGCTTGAATGTGGATCTGGGCCTGGGGTCCGGCTGTGTGGTCAGGTCCTTGCGGCTGTAGCATTTGACGCAGCATCAAAACACGACACCCTAGGGTCACCTGGCCTCACAAGGGAGTGTGTGGACCAGTGAGCAGCCCTCTAGGTCTGGAAAGGGACAGCTCATCCCTGTAGAAACTGATGCCTCTGTCCCCCTGGGCCCGAGAAGCCACAGGTGCAGCCTCAGCAGCCACAGGCAGCACCCACTCCGGGCCGCGGCCTCTGCTTGCACAGCCCAGCTGCCCAGCACAACGGGAGGGCCTTGGCAGCCCCAGGGAGGGTGTGGTGGGTGGCAGGGCCAAGGGCACCTTGGGCTTGCCGAACACGCTAGCCCTGCCCTGCCCTCACCAGCAACTTGGAGTCTCAGGCCAGCCCACCCCTATGTCTTTATCTTTGCAGGAAATTTCCAGAACTTTTTGCACAGTTCAAGTCTTTCCTGGGGGTGAAAGAGCTGTCCTTTGCACCGCCCGTGAGTGACCGGTCCGGGGATGGGATGAGCCGGGAGATCGACTATGCCTCCTGCAAGCGCATTGGCTCCAGCTATCGGGCGCTGCCCAAGACCTACCAGCAGCCCAAGTGCAGCGGGCGGACGGCCATCTGCAAGGAGGTAACGCTCGGGGCTCCCCGCGGCCCCTCCACTGCACAGGCCACAGCCCTGCTCCGGCCAGAGCCACTGCCCTAGTGACTTTCCATTCAAATCTCAGCCACTGAGGACCTGCGTGGGGGTCAGTGGCCACAGCATACCCTGGAGTCCAGGATGGCGCCCCATCCGGCCCACGGTCTGTGTCTATGTATAAAGTTTTATCGGCACACAGCCGCGCCCACTCAGTGGCCCGTGGCAGTGGCACTCTCCTGAGAGATGGGGGGTGACTAGGTGCTGCCGGGGGCTGGGGGGTTCCCCAGGTTTCCCACCCGGGTCGGGAGTGAGCGCCGGCCCACAGCCACCTGTCCCACACAGGTGCTGAACGACACCTGGGTGTCCTTCCCGTCCTGGTCGGAGGACTCCACCTTCGTCAGCTCCAAGAAGACGCCCTATGAGGAGCAGCTGCACCGCTGCGAGGACGAGCGCTTCGAGGTGCGGGGTCCCCACAGGCCTGGGTGGCCCCGAGCTAGCGGCCGACCGCCGCGGGCTTTTATTTCATTTCATTTCCTTGGCCATTTTTATCAGCAGTGGCCACCCTCGAGTCCCAGGCGGGGATAGAAACGGCACAGAGACCCCCGGGTAGGGGGCCCTGGGCCTCCGCACCCCCCACCGTGCCCCTCTCCGCAGCTGGACGTGGTCCTGGAGACGAACCTGGCCACCATCCGCGTGCTGGAAAGCGTGCAGAAGCGGCTGTCGCGCATGGCGCCCGAGGACCAGGACAAGTTCCGCCTGGACGACTCGCTGGGCGGCACGTCCGAGGTGATCCAGCGACGCGCCATCCATCGCATCTACGGCGACAAGGCCCCCGAGATCGTGGAGAGCCTCAAGAAGAACCCGGTGACCGCGGTGCCCGTCGTCCTCAAGAGGTACCCGCTACTCCCCCTCCCCAGCTGCTCGGGGCCTTCTGGGAGGTGGCACGGGGTCCCCACGCCCACGTGTGTCGCTGTGCTGTGACAGGGTGTCCCCCACGCCCACCCGTGTCGCTGTGCTGTGACAGAGTGTCCCCCACACCCACCCGTGTCGCTGTGCTGTGACAGAGTGTCCCCCACACCCACCCGTGTCGCTGTGCTGTGACAGGGTGTCCCCCACACCCACCCGCGTCACTGTGCTGTGACAGGGTGTCCCCCACACCCACCCGTGTCGCTGTGCTGTAACAGGGTATCCCCCACGCCCACCCGTGTCGCTGTGCTGTGACAGAGTGTCTCCCACGCCCACCCGTGTCGCTGTGCTGTGACAGGGTGTCCCCCACACCCACTCATGTCGCTGTGCTGTGACAGAGTGTCCCCCACACCCACGCGTGTCGTTGTGCTGTGATGGGCTGTTCCCCACACCCACCCGTGTCGCTGTGCTGTGATGGGCTGTCCCTCACACCCACCCGTGTCGCTGTGCTGTGACGCAGCGACCATCACAGGGTGGGGTGCAGGGCAGTCGGGATGGACAGCGGGCGCGTCTGCTGGCACGGGCCTGTGGGTGCTGCTGGCACGGGCCTGTGGGTGCTGCGCTGGGCAGCCCTCCTGCCTCTGCAACATTTACGTATTCATTGGAAAGGCCAAGAGCAGAGACCTTGTCACCCACTGGTTTGGTCCCCAAGTAGCCGCAATGGCCACAGCTGGCTGGTCTGAGACCAGGGGCCGGGAGTTTCCGCCCGGTCTCCCATGTGGGCACAGGGGCCCGGCTGCGTGAGCGGGAAGTGGAGCAGCTGAGACTTGAACCACGGCCCTTCTGGAATGCCAGCTTTGTGAGCTGCAGCTTAAGCTGGTGTCCCACAGTACAGGCCCAAGCGGGGCGTGTGCTTGAATACCCAGACTGGAGACGCGAGGGCAGCTGCACGGCAGCTGCTAGGGGGAGGGCGTGGGACCCCAGGGCCAGGCGTACCCCCTTGCACCCCCAGGCTGAAGGCCAAGGAGGAGGAGTGGCGGGAGGCCCAGCAGGGCTTCAACAAGGTGTGGCGGGAACAGTACGAGAAGGCCTACCTCAAGTCGCTCGACCACCAGGCCGTGAACTTCAAACAGAACGACACCAAGGCGCTGCGCTCCAAGAGCCTGCTCAACGAGATTGAGAGCGTCTACGACGAGGTGGGCCTTGGGGACCCCCGCACCCCGGCTGCATGCGGGGGTCCCTGCGCGTTGGCCCTGGGCGGCCATGGGGAGGCAGTGGTCACCTGGCAAGTCCGGGGGCTGTAGCGGGTGGAGGGGTGCCCACCTCACCCGGCCCGCCTGCCCGCCCCGCCCAGCACCAGGAGCAGCACTCTGAGGGCCGCAGCGCGCCGGCCAGCGAGCCGCACCTGGTCTTCGTCTACGAGGACCCGCAGATGCTGGAGGACGCGGCGGCGCTCATCAGCTACTACGTGCAGCGGCAGCCGGCCATCCAGAAGGAGGACCAGGGCACCATCCGCCAGCTGCTGCACCACTTCCTGCCCAGCCTCTTCTTCGCCCAGCAGCTCGAGCTGGGCGGCAGCGAGGAGTCGGCCGAGGAGGACCCCGAGGCACCCGCGGGCGAGCGCAAGAAGCCCGCGCCCCCGGGGCCACTGCCTGGACCACCACCTCCCGGGCCGGGCTCGGGGCCAGCGCCACCGCAGGGCAGCCCTGCAGAGGAGAAGGCGGCGGCCCCGGGGCCCGGGGCAGGGAGCGGCGCGGCGGGCACCGCGGCTGAGCCGCCGCCGTTGGACGACGTGTACAGCCTGCTGTTTGCCAACAACAACTGGTACTTCTTCCTGCGGCTGCACCAGACGCTCTGCTCGCGGCTGCTGCGCATCTACCGGCAGGCGCAGAAGCAGCTGCTCGAGTTCCGGCGCGAGAAGGAGCGGGAGAAGCTGCTGTGCGACGGACGGCGGGAGAAGGGTGGCGACCCCGCCACCGAGCTGCGGCTCCGGCAGCCCAGTGAGCCCGGGCGGGAGGCTGGGGGGCACGGCGGGGGCACCGGGAGGAGGGTGGCGACCCCGCCACCGAGCTGCGGCTCCGGCAGCCCAGTGAGCCCGGGCGGGAGGCTGGGGGGCACGGCGGGGGCACCGGGAGGAGGGCGCGGGGTGGGCACCGGGAGGAGGGTGCGGCCGGCCCGTCGCCCTCGCGGCGTCGGCCCTGTGTTAGGGGTCTGGAGTGACCTGATTCCCTGTGAGCACGCGCTGTGTGCCTGCCGGGTGACGGTGGCTGGTTTGTAAGGTTTGTTTTTCGTGGAAAGGCAGAGTTACAGAGAGAAGGAGATCTCCCGTCTATGGGGACCCCCCACCCCCCTGCAGGGACTGGGCCAGGCCGAAGCCAGGAGCCTGGAGCTCCCCCAGGTCTCCACCAGGGGTGCAGGGCCATGAGTTGGAAATGGAGGTGGAGCAGCCGGGACTCGGGTCCAGGCTCCCGTGGGTTTAAGCCACAGCACCCCGATGCCCCCTGCCCCAGGGAGTCTGTACCCCGCGGATACCCAGGGCCAGTGGTGACCCGGGTCCTGGGAAGGCCAGCCCACCCTGAGCAGGACAGTGCTGTCCCTGCAGCCCTCGCCAGCCCCTCCCCCAAGCCCCGGGTCTCTCAGCTGGGGGGGGCCTGCACAGGGGCCTGCAGGGACAGCCCGCGCGCGTGGGGTCCCGGGGCGTGCGGTGCAGCTGGCCGTGCCGGTCCCCAGGTGAGGTGGAGCTGGAGGAGTACTACCCGGCCTTCCTGGACATGGTGCGCAGCCTGCTGGAAGGCAGCATCGACCCCACGCACTACGAGGACACTCTGCGCGAGATGTTCACCATCCACGCCTACATTGGCTTCACCATGGACAAGCTGGTGCAGAACATCGCGCGGCAGGTGAGCCGGGAGGCCCACAGATGGGCACTGCCTGTCCACCCAGCGCGGTGGGGCTCCCGAACGTGGGAGGCCAGCACCCGGAAGCGCTCCCCACCCGGAACTTTCTGCGCGTGGGCACTGACTGGGGCTGGAGCCTGGGCTGCACACGGCGCCGAGGCCACCTCGTGGGGCCCTCTGGGGGTCCCGGGGTGACGCCGGCATCATCTGCTCTCCCTGCCCGCAGCTGCACCACCTGGTGAGCGACGACCTGTGCCTCAAGGTGGTGGAGCTCTACCTGGACCAGAAGAAGCGCGGGGCGGCCGGCGGGAACCTGGCCTCTCGCTGCGTGCGTGCCGCCAGGGAGACCAGCTACCAGTGGAAGGCGGAGCGCTGCATGGCCGACGAGAACTGCTTCAAGGTGCCGGCCTCCCCGGGAGCTGTGGGGGTGGGCAGGGGGGCGGGCGCACCTGCAGGGCCTCATCGGGCCACCAGCCCCAAAGAGCCCCCAGTCCTGGGTGGCTGGCCGGGCAGGTGGGGAGCCGGGCGTCCAGCGGCCACCTGCCCCGTGCAGGTGATGTTCCTACAGCGTAAAGGCCAGGTGATCATGACCATCGAGCTGCTGGACACAGAGGAGGCCCAGACGGAGGATCCCGTGGAGGTCCAGGTGAGCATCCCACGCGTGTGCACGCAGGCAGGCGGGACAGGAGGCCGTGCGCAGCTCCCACCAGGGGCCTGGCTCAGCCCTGGACAGCCGCCGCCCCCGAGGCCTGCAAGAGGCTGGACAAGAGCAGCTGGGCCTGCCCCTCTGCTACCACCCCTGCAGCTCCACGCCAGGGCCTGTGCCCCTCAGCCCCCACCCCTGCAGCTCCACGCCAGGGCCTGTGCCCCTCTGCCCCCACCCCTGCAGCTCCACGCCAAGGCCTCTGCCCCTCAGCCCCCACCCCTGCAGCTCCATGCCAGGGCCTGTGCCCCTCTGCCCCCACCCCTGCAGCTCCACGCCAGGGCCTCTGCCCCTCTGCCCCCACCCCTGCAGCTCCACACCAGGGCCTGTCCCTCAGCCCCCACCCCTGCAGCTCCACGCTAGGGCCTGCCCCTCAGCCCCCACCCCTGCAGCTCCACGCCAGGGCCTGTGCCCCTCTGCCCCCACCCCTGCAGCTCCATGCCAGGGCCTCTGCCCCTCTGCCCCACTCACACAGGCTATCTCAGAGCGACTATTTCTGGTTGACTGTAAGGCTCCCAGGGCAGTTCTGGGATGGGACAGGGGGACCCCTGCTGCCCATTGCAGCCACCAGGCTCCCCAAGACCATGGGCCAGGGCCTTCTAGAAGTTTCTGGAAACACAGCTGCTTTCTGTCCCCAGCCTGGAGGGGCCCGGTGAGCGCTCCCACACGGCTGGCTGTCCATGCGTCCTCCACTTGGCCGTGACCCCCGGCCTTCCCTGACTGTCCCCACTGCTCCAGCTGTGCTGCCCCCGCCCGGGAGCAGCCAGAGGCTCTGGAGACAAGGCGTGGATGCCTGCGAGTCCCCAGCTCTGCGTCTCTCTGGCAGCACCTGGCGCGGTATGTGGAGCAGTACGTGGGCACCGAGGGCGCGGCCAGCTCGCCCTCCGAGGGCTTCCTACTCAAGCCGGTGTTCCTGCAGAGGTAACGGGGCCCAGCAGGACTCAGGCCTGGGGGGCGGGAGTGGGGCTGCAGGACCTGGACGGGGAGAGGTGTTCTGAGACCCCTGGGGGTTCTGGAAGGCTCCTGTTAGCTCCGTCTGCCCCTCTACCCCCGGGGAGGCTGCCCACGGGGGCTCATGGCACCTGCGGCCCCTCTCCAGGAACCTCAAGAAGCTGCAGCGCTGGCAGTGCGAACAGGTGCGCGCGCTGCGGGGCGAGGCCAAGAGCTCGTGGAAGCGGCTGCTGGGCGTGCAGAGCGCCTGCGACGTGGACTGCCGCTTCAAGCTCAGCACCCACAAGATGGTGTTCGTGGTCAACTCGGAGGACTACATGTACCGCCCGGGGACCCTGGGCCGCGCCAAGCAGGTGGGCGGGGTGGGGGGCCCCTGTGACCCCGCCCCTCTGACCCCCGTCCTTCTGACCCCCACCCCTGTGTCCCCCGTCCCTGTGTCTCCCGCCCCTGTCACCCCCGCCCCCTGACCCCCGCACCCCTGACCCCCGCCCATGTCCGCTGCCCAGGTGCAGCCCCTGGTGCTGTTGCGCCACCACCAGCACTTTGACGAGTGGCACCGCCGCTGGCTGCAGGAGCACGTGACGGCAGAGGCGGCCGGCCTGGTGCAGGACTGGCTCATGGGCGAGGAGGAGGAGGACATGGTGCCCTGTAAGACGCTGTGCGAGACGGCACGGGTGCATGGGCTGCCCGTGAGGCGCTACCGCGTGCAGTACAGCCGGCGGCCCGCCTCGCCCTGAGCCTGCACCCCTGGCCGCTGGCTGCTGCGGGACAGCGCCCACGTGGCCGCCCCACCGCGAGGGCACCGGCCTGGGCACTGGGGGCGACAGCCCCGAGTGCGGCGGGCGTTCCAGAAACTTCCCCCACTCGCCGCTGCCCAGGCCGGGGTTCTCGGGGCTGAGGTCCCCCAAAAGCCCGACCCAGCTGCCCCCGTCTGCTTTCCCCACCATGAAGCCCAAGGAGCCAGGCTGACCGCCACGCGCAGGACTGGGCAGGGCCGAGGCTCCGGGAGCTGAGCTTCTGGAAGCTTCCTCGGCCCCGCAGCGCCTCGCAGCCGGGCCCGCCCCTGCCGCATGCCGAGCACCGCTGTCCGCAGCCGTTCTGTTGTGTCCACGCCTGCCCTTTCCCCGCAGCTGTTTTGAATGTAGTTTTCCTTTTCTATTTATTTGCACATTAAAGTTAAAAGTTAACTATTGAGAAAACCTCCCCAGGCCCCACCCCCAGCCCCCCAGCCCCGCCATCGGCGCACATCTGCTCAGACCAGAGCCTGATCTGGCCCTGACAGGGGCGTTTTCTAGAATATTCTCCCCCAGGTCAGTTCTTTCCACGCTCGGTGAGAAAGCCGACGTCAAGGCCGCACTGGTCAGAGCTTTGTACCCCAGCCCCACAAAACAGTCCTCTGTGCCCCGCAGCCGCCCACACCCCCGGGCCAGATCCCACTCTGCAGCCAGGTGGGGACCATGTCATGTCCAGCCCACCCCCCGACGCTGTGCTTCCCGGGCCGTGCCTGCCTGCGGCCCCCTCGGCCCTGCCCAGGAGGGGCGCCCAGTCCAGGGGCAGTGGGGTGGCCCTCTCCCCACCCCTAGGAGTCCCCAGTGGGCAGGACCTGGGACCACTCAGGCCACCTGCTTGGGGTCCCTGCACTGGGTGGAGAACCGAGTGGCCAGGGCCAGCTGCGGAGATGGCTGTGCACAGAGTGAGAGGCAGCCCACCAGTGCTGGGACCCCTGACACCCACATAGACCCTGCGACACTGGGCCCCTACCTCTCTGGCCCAGCCCCTTGGGGGTCCCTCCCGTGGGGACCTGGACTGGAGCTGTGGCGTCCGTGCAGAGAAGAAATCGGGCTGAAAGGCAAGGTGGACCAGTGCACACTTGAGGGTTTCTGGGGCAACTTGGACCCGTTTCCTGTAAAGCAGGCTGGTAGAAGTTACAAGGGAACAATAGCATGCAAGCTGCTCTGATGACAGACGGGACTGGGGGTGTCCCCAGGCCGCAGGCGACAGGAACCTCACAGGGCTTCTGCTAACATCTGTGCAGGCCGCAGTCGCTAAAGAAATGGTAGTGAAGATAGGCACCTCCACTGCTTTCCCAGGCCACAGGCAGGGAGCTGGGTGGGAAGAGGACTCGAACCGGTGCCCATGTGGGATTCTGGTGTCCTGTGCAGTGGCTTTCCCAGCCGCCACAGCAGCAGCGCCTGGCAGCCGGGGTCTTTAACTGTTGTGTCAAACGAAGGAGCTGTGTGGAATGTCACCCGTGGTCTGGAAAATTCCACTGAAGCTCCAGGCCGGCAGGGCTGGGTGAAGCAGCACGCGGTCTTGGCCCCTGACCCCTGGCCCTGGGCCGCCTGCCCCACCCCGCTGCGTGTGAGCCGGCGATGGTCCCCACCCTGGGACCCTCGGTGTGCCCACATCACAGGCCCAGACCCTAACGTCAGCTGCCTGCCGGGGGCTCCTGCCTTCCTGAGTTCTGCTGGGTCATTTCCTGGCTGGCCCCTGGGTCCTTCCCCCAGCCCTGGCCCCACGGGGACCTGCTTAGGTGTGTCCTGTGTCCCAGCGGGAGCCCCCAAGCAGAAGCCAGTCACTGCTGGGCTGCTACAGTTAGGGGTGGGCATCTCCGGGGAGCTAGTGGGGTGCTGCGGCAGCATCAGGGAGTGTGAACCCACCCCCCAGCAGCCCCAGCCCCACACGGCACCTCTCTGCTTGGGTTCTGGGGCAGCTGAGGGGGTGGGGGTGGGAGACTGTAGCACTGGGACCCTGTAAGGGACAGGAAGTGGAGATGGAAGTTGGGGGGTGGGAGAGGTTAGGCAGCGCCCCTCCCCCAGCACTGTTCTAACAACACAGACCGCAGGAAGTGGCCACTCGGCCAACAAGTGTATCCTGGGCTGCCCTTGGCCGGGAATGGGGGCTGCGGCTGGACTGGCCTCCTTGCCCTGGTCAGCAGGCATGCCCCCCTGCCCAGGATGGCCTGGGCCCCTCCCTGTTCCCTCAGTCCATACTCGGGGCGTCCCCCGGTCCTAAGGAGGGGGCTGGGGGCTGCTGTGGGCCTGGGGGCAGAGGCTGTGCCTCGTGGGTTTATCTCCCGGTGGGGGCAGCAGCTCCGGAAGCTGGGGGCGGGGGGCAGGCCCGCAGGAAGCCTGAGGGAAGGTTCCTGCCCACAGCAGCCCGGCCGCCCTCCCGGCGGCAGCAGCATCAGGAGGAATGTGGGCGCTTGTGCTGCTGGGCGCCCTGCTGCTGCCGGGGCACGGCCTGGGGCACGGCCCCCACACCCCGAGCGACTACGATGAGATGGGGCAGGACACGGGTGGTGGCGGTGAGCGCTGGGGGCGGGGGAGATGGAGGACCCGCGTTTGTCGTTGGCGAGGAGGCGGGGAGGGGGCCGCAGGCCCAGGGCTGCATGTCCCGCTACACAGTCTGGAACCCCTCAGCATTAGCGGGAGGGATGGGGTCCCCCATCACTCCTGCGTACACTGCTGCCCCAACACCCCAATACTCCCCAGCACCCCAACACTCCTCCCCTGCACCCCAACACTCCTCCCCTGCACCCCAACACTCCCCTGCACCCTCTACACTCCTCCCCTGCACCCCTCACATTCCTCCCAGCACCCCAACACTCCCCTGCACCCCTCACACTCCCCTCTTGCACACTGCCCCCCAGCGCTGTTGACACCCCTCTCTCCCACAGGCACCCTGGAGGCCCCCGCCCAGCCCCGAAGCTTCCCCGGCCAGCTCTGCCTCAACCAGAGTCACGGCCTGGCGCTGTCCAACCGCTCCCTCGAGCTGCTGCTCGGCTGGGTGCCCACCAGGCTGGTGCCGGCCATCTACGGGCTGGTGCTGGTCGTGGGGCTGCCGGCCAACGGGCTGGCCCTGTGGGTGCTGGCCACGCGCGTGCCTCGCCTGCCCTCCACCATGCTGCTCATGAACCTGGCGGCCGCCGACCTGCTGCTGGCGCTGGCGCTGCCCCCGCGCCTCGCCTACCACCTGCGCGGCCAGCGCTGGCCCTTCGGCGAGGCCGCCTGCCGCCTGGCCACGGCCACCCTCTACGGCCACATGTACGGCTCGCTGCTGCTGCTGGCCGCCGTCAGCCTGGACCGCTACCTGGCCCTGGTGCACCCGCTGCGCGCGCGGGCCCTGCGTGGTCAGCGCCTGGCCACCGGCCTCTGCATCGCCGCCTGGCTCGCGGCGGCCGCCCTGGTGTCGCCGCTGCTGCTGCAGCGCCAGACCTACCGGCTGCAGGCCTCGGAGCGCGTGCTGTGCCACGACGCGCTGCCCCAGGACGCGCAGCTGGCCTACTGGCGGCCGGCCTTCACCTGCCTGGCGCTGCTGGGCTGCTGCCTGCCGCTGGCCGCCATGCTCCTGTGCTACGGGGCCACGCTGCGCGCGCTGGCGGCCGCGGGCCAGCGCTACGGCCACGCGCTGCGGCTCACGGCGCTCGTGCTGGCCTCGGCCGTGGCCTTCTTCGCGCCCAGCAACGCCCTGCTGCTGCTGCACTACTCCGACCCGCGCCCCGGGGCCTGGGGCGACCTGTACGGCGCCTACGTGCCCAGCCTGGCCGTCAGCGCCCTCAACAGCTGCGTGGACCCCTTCGTGTACTACTACGTGTCGGCCGAGTTCAGGGACAAGGTGCGCGAGGGGCTCCTGCGCCGGCCACCCCGGAGCGCAGCGGCCTCCAAGGCCTCGGGAGACGGCGCGGGCCGGGGCTCCGGGGGCGCCACGCGCTCCTCGTCCCTGCTCTGAGTCGGGGACCCTCGGGGGCTCTGAGTCGGGGGACCCTCAGGCGCCTCGCTCTGAGTCTGGGGTCTCTGAGTCGGGAGGAACCCTTGGGGGCTCTAAGTTGGGGGCGACCCTCCCCCAGCCCCGCCAAGTGCCTGTCCCTCCCTGGAAGCTGAGAAACTGAGGCACAACTGACAGGCCCACCAGGAGCCGAGGACCAGCAGGCCTGGACGCCCAGATGTCTGCCGAGTTGGGGGGGTATATATGTACACTTATACATAGGTGAGAGGGAGGGGCTGGGGATGCAGGGGAGGAGCCAGGAGGAGAGGGGCAGGGGCTGGGGGTGCAGGGGAGGAGCCAGGAGGAGAGGGGCAGGGGCTAGGGGTGCAGGGGAGGAGCCAGGAGGAGAGGGGCAGGGGCTGGGGGTGCAGGGGAGGAGCCAGGAGGAGAGGGGCAGGGGCTGGGGGTGCAGGGGAGGAGCCAGGAGGAGAGGGGCAGGGGCTGGGGGTGCAGGGGAGGAGCCAGGAGGAGAGGGGCAGGGGCTGGGGGTGCAAGGGAGGAGCCAGGAGGAGAGGGGCAGGGGCTGGGGGTGCAGGGGAGGAGCCAGGAGGAGAGGGGCAGGGGTTGGGGGTGCAAGGGAGGAGCCAGGAGGAGAGGGGCAGGGGCTGGGGGTGCAGGGGAGGAGCCAGGAGGAGAGGGGCAGGGGTTGGGGGTGCAAGGGAGGAGCCAGGAGGAGAGGGGCAGGGGCTGGGGGTGCAGGGGAGGAGCCAGGAGGAGAGGGGCAGGGGCTGGGGGTGCAGGGGAGGAGCCAGGAGGAGAGGGGCAGGGGAGGAGGCTGCCCAGGGCTGCTGCAGGGGGGCATGCAGGGGGAGGACCGCCCTGCACGGGGCATCTGGGACAGAACCAGCTCTGGTCACACCTGGCCTTCCGAGGAGGCGCGGCCTCCGGGTCCCTGAGGCAATAAATTCCTGTGTTCCCAAGGTGCCTGGTTGCAGTCTCTCCAGGGCAAACTGGGCCGCGCAGCTGGGAGGAGGGAGGCAGTGCAAGGTGACGGGGCTTCCCCCAGGCGCGGGCGCAGGGCCCCCAGATGCAGGTGCAGCACCCCCAGCCACCCGAGCCCACCCCTTCCTCCCCCAGGTCTCCTTGCGTGTGCTTGGTGCCATCACCGACCCGGCAGACAGAAGCTCAGGTGTGCTGGGCCCAGGCAAGGGAGGGCTCCTTCGGGGTCTCCCACAAGGGGGACAGGCGCCCTCCCTGCTGCCTCCCAGGGTGGGCGTGAGCAGGGGGCTGGGACTTGAAGCAGGCCCCCCATAGGGCCTACAGCTGGGGGCTGGGCAGGGGACAGCAGGTGTGTTGCAGGGGGTTGCATTCTCTACTGCCCCCCAGTACTGGCACGTAGCCCAAGCTCAAGGGGGACCTGTCCCAGTCTGTTCAGCTTTGTGGCCCCCCACCCTGCCCCGCCTGGCCAGCAGTACCTCATCCAACTACAAGAGGACCCAGCGTCCGTCTGCCTCATCCACTTCACCCTGAGGTGCCTGTCCAGGAGCACCTGTGGCTGCGGAAGCCCAGAACAGCCACCTGCAGCCAGCTCCAGTGCCACCCGAGCCGGGGGCAGCGTGGGCTCGGGGCGGGGCGGGAGCAAAGTGCCTGGCTTCCCCGCCACCCTGCACTTGCCTGGGATTTGCACGCAAAAGCCTCACACGGCTGCATTTACTACAGCAAGGCTGCGTCCTGCCCCAGCAAAAGCCAAGCCCTAAACCCCCAAGCCATCCCCACCCCACAACAGGGGCAGGTGTCTGGCGCAGTAGTTAGGGTGCTGCTTGGGGTGCCCAGACCCCACATCTGGGTGCCTGGAATCACATACCAGCTTCACTTCTGATCCAGCTGCCTGCTCACACAGGCAGCAGGGCAGGGCTTGCGTTCCAGGGAGCTTCTGGCTTGGCCTGGCCCCGGGGCTGGCTGCTGTGGGCATTCGGGAAGAGAACCAGCGAATGGCAGGTCCCCTTTGTCTTTTGAGTAGCAATGATGGTGATGACAATGGGCACCGAGCTGTGCCCGCCACTCAGAGCTCCCCCACTTGGGCCCCACCCAGCCCTGCCCCTTCACCATGTCCGCCCGGAAGCCTGGCAGCAGGGGCACCACCAGCACAGCTTTGTCGAATGCCCCCCTGTGCAGCCACCTGCCCCCAGCAGAGAGGCAGAGGGGGCCCTTGAACTTGAGAACTCTAAGGTGGAATTCACAGCCCCGTTGACGCCCAGAAGCCCCTCTCCATCCCATCCTGCCCCTGTGGCTGCAGGGGGAGCAGGGAACAGCCAGCCAGCCCCTCCAGCTTCCAGCTTCCATCTCTCTGGGGCAAGGGAGTGTAACTGAGGCCTCCCTGGGGCTTCTGCTTCGTGCCAGCTGGGCCCCAAGGACAGGAAGGGGAGGCTAAGGTTTGAAGGAGGACCTGCAGGTGGTGCGAAGGGGGTGGGGCAGGCTTTGGGCACAGTATGTTCTAGCCTGCAGCGCCCACACACAGTCTCCCCTCTGCTGCCTGATTCAACAGCGTCCCCACCCAGGCCTCCCGTGGAGCAGGCAGTGTGGGGGCGCTCTGTGCCCTAGGACCCACTGTGGGGCCTGTGCACGGGTCGGGGCTCAGGGTCAAAGGCAGGACAGGTGTCTGGCCAGCTCGGCGGAGAGTGCCATGGCAACTGGCCACGCCCACACCGACTTCTCATGGCAACCAGCGTCCTGGGGGGGGGGGGGAAGGCTGGGCACCAAGGCGAGTGGATTAAACAGACTCTGATGCTGTGCCCACCTGCACCTGCTGGATCCTCACTGGGCCCTGTGCCGTCTCCAACGTCATGGCTGAGTGGTCCTCCTCCCATGCGGTCCTCCTGGAGGTGCCGGCCAACGGAGCAGGACGAACCTGTGCACACCTCCAATGTCACCTCATATTCTCGGTACGCAACCGCCTGCCAGGGTCCCACAGAGTGGCATCCCCGGACAGACTCTAAATGGGCACAACAATGAGGTTATGCCACGTCCCTGCGCACCTGTCACCTCCCAGGGTCGGCCTTGGCAGGAGCCAGGCGGGAAGTGGAACAGCCGGGACTCCAAGCAGGTGCTCTGACGTGGGATGCAGGTGCCCCAGGCAGCGACAGAAGCTCTCCACCGAGTGCCCACCCTGGCGTGTGCGGGGTGACTGTGCCCCTGTGGGTGCTGTGCCCGCACTCTCCACCGAGCGCCCACCCTGGAGCACGGTGCCCACCCTGGAGTGTGCGGGGCGACTGTGCCCCTGTGGGTGCTGTGCCCGCACTCTCCACAGAGCGCCCACCCTGGCGTGTGCCCCCTGGGTTGTCCTGGGGCGACTGTGCACATGCCACTGGCTTCTCGAGGCTTCTCCCCGCGTTGTCCTCTCGGCAGCAGGCAGGTCAGGCGGGGAGCCAGCCGTCCACTGCCCCCTGGCGGCCACGGCCTGAACTGCCGCTTGCCCCTCATCCCACGAAGCCAGCGGAACCAACGCCGCTTCCAGGACAGCGAGGCGAGGCAATCCTGAGTCTTTGCTGACTCTGCCTTCCACCAGCGAGCAGCTCTCTCCAGGACGTCCGCCCCGCCCGACCTCCCGCCTCCCTGCCACTTTGTACCTTAGCAGGGAGCTGGCGCGAGGGGCACACAGTGCCTGGAACCCAGCACCCACGCACAATGTGGGCATCCCAGCTGCTGCCCCAAACAGCCACGCACACAGGACTTGGAAAAACCAACACGGGGAGGCGGCAGCATCGGGAGGACGGAGGGCTGAGCCGCCACCTGCAAGGACCAACACCCAACGGCCGCGTGGCGTCCTGTTGCTCCATGTGCCACGGGGGTGCCCTCCTGACCCTGCTGGGTGGCAGGAACGGATGCCAAGGGGCCCAACGCACGAGGCTGAGGTGTTCCCTCCCTCAAAAACACATGCATGCATCAATAAAACTGTACCAATTCCGAACCTCAGAGGCCCGAGTGTCCCGTGGGTGACCGTCCCCATGGGTGTGCACGAGGCTGTGTGCCAATAAAACTTTATTTACAAGGAGTTGGTGGGGGCCACAGCCGAAGGCACCCTGGGTCCCCTCCAGCATGATCTGATCAGAGAGGCTCATCCGGCGGGCTGCGGGGGCAGGAGAGCGGGCACCCGGCAGGCTGTCAGGGGCAGGGGAGCGGGCATCCCTGCTGCCCTCCAGCGGGCTCCACTGGCTCTGGGCGCCCACTCGGAGTTAGACCTTCAGTGGCTGCCTCCAGGCGGGGGCCGGGAGGACACAGGGAGGGCACGAGGCGGTTCCGACTGCCCGTGGCGCTGCAGGCTGGTGGCCTGGGCACCGAGCTCTGAGAGGCAGGGCCCCCCCGGTCAGGCAGGAGGTGGGCACCCCGAGAGGGCCATCACCCGCTGCTTCGCCCTCCACATGCCGGGTCCCAGGCAGGAGCCAGGATGTCAGGCAAGGTGCCCGGGTGGGCACCAGGGTTGGGGTGTGTGGGTTCTTGGCTGCTGCCCGCCTGGGCCCGGGAGAGCGAGCCCGAGTTGGGACTCATCCCTGAGCGGGCTGCGGTGAGACAGTGTCCAAGTGGCATCTTGCCCACCGAGCCAGTGCCCGGCCCCATGGGCAGTGCCCACATGGCCCCGGAGGGACTGAGAGAAGCGGCCTTGGAATCGGAGTGGGATGGGCTGCCGATGTGGCAAGGAGCCCACTGCTCTGTGCTTACAACACCGGCCTGTGTGCGGGGCCTGGTACGCGCGCCGTGGCACTGCCTTCCTTCCCCCCCCAAATGTATTTACTTATTTTTAAAGATTTATTAATTTTTATTGCAAAGTCAGATATATGCAGAGGAGAGAGAGAGAGAGGAAGATCTTCCATCCGCTGGTTCACTCCCCAAGCTGGAGCTGAGCTGATCTGAAGCCAGGAGCCAGGAGCTTTTTCCAGGTCTCCCACACGGGTGCAGGGTCCCAAGGCTTTGGGCCGTCCTCCACTGCTTTCCCAGGCCACAGGCAGGGAGCTGGATGGGAAGTGGGGCTGCCGGGATTAGAACCAGTGCCCATATGGAATCCCGGGCGTGTAAGATGAGGACCTTAACCACTGCGCCATCGCGCCAGGCCCACAATTCGCACTCTAAGAGAAAGTGCCATCAGGCTGCGTGTGTGCGGTGCCCGGGGAACACCCACGACCCAGGGTCACACCTGCTCCTGCGCCCAAGGTGGCTCCCCGGTGACTGGACCACAGCAGCCTGTGGCACCTCAAGGAAGCCCTCCCAGGGTCGGGGGCCGGGGGGCCAGGGAAGAGGAAGGAGGGGAGAGGGCACAGGCCACGCCCTGCACAGCCGAGCTCACGCACACACCGCAGGCTGCTGTACACAGGATCTGTATTTCAACGAACAACAAACAAAGTGAACACAGAACAGAGCTGCCCACACAGCAAGGAACGTGCCATGCACCAACGGGCCTCCCGGAACACGGGCAGGGGCATCGGGCTCACAGGGCGCCGGCTGGCGCGGTGGCCTCGGGGAGACCTCCGGGCGGCTCCCCACGGGCGGCGCCCTCCCCGAAGTACCAGCGGCTGGGGGCGTCCAGGCCCTCCACTCGCTCCAGGGCTTCCTGGTTCACGAGGGCGGCCTCCTGACTCGCCTTGGCAGACAGCTCCAGCACCTCGGCGAAGGTCCTGGGGGAGAGCAGGCAGCCGCTGTCACGGGGGCAGCTGGGGTCACAGAGAAGAACCACACGGCGGGGGGTGGGCCGGCACACCCACACCTTCCCCAGGCCCGGGCCAGCCCTTCCCTCCAACACGTGACACCCCACGCCCGCTGTCCTGCATTGCACACACAGGGCACCAGGCCCACCGGCTCCTGGACCCCCGTCAGTTCAGGAGGCAGAGATCGCTGCGCCCCGAGCCCTGAGCACCCAGGGGAACCCTTCCAACAGTAACCAGACCCTCGGACCCCCAAAGGGAGCAGCATGGGCGTGTCAGGAAGCAGCCTGCGGGGCGCCCATGTGGCCCAGGGTCTTGCCTGGGCCCCAGTCCCCGCTCTGAGTCCAGCTTTCAGCGAACACGCAGCCCACGAGGCGGCAGGGCTGGCTCAGGCTGTCCAGGAGCATCTGCAGCCCGAGGGAAGCCCCCTGAGTTCCCACGCGGCTCCTGCCTTCGCACAGGCCTGGGCCCCTGGCTGTGGGCCTCGGGAGTGAACCACGGGCCGCTGACCCACGGAGAGCCAGCTCAAGTCACGGGAAGAAGTGCTTCTCCCCGCCCACTCTCCCAGCCCGGCCAGGTCAGCCTGGCCCCGCCACACCCAGCACCCAGAGCTGACCAAGGCTGCAAGAGGGAGGCGAGTGCCTGCCAGGACTCCGGCGGGAGGAAGGTGGGGTCCGCAACCGGGATGGTGCAAGCTACACCTGCTGGCCGGGAAGGGGCAGCAGCCAGGGGACCCCCACCCTGAGGGGAACAGGTGCTGGGCCACCTGCCCCGCAGCCCTGTGCCCCTCCTGCCCACTCTGAGCCCGGATATACCTCTGGAGCTCCAAGTCCTTCTGGGTGGCCAGGGCCCGCAGTTCGCTCAGCAAGTCCAGCGCCCGCGTGGGCTTCTCCTCCTCCGGGCCCACGCCCAGATCCCGGAGGAGGCGCTGCGTGGTGGTGAGCTCCAGCTGCAGGGAGTCTGCAGGGGAGGGGGCTGTGAGCCCTGGGGCCCCGGGCCTTCCCTGTCTCCCTCAGCACCCAGGTGAAGGAAGCCGCAGGCCTGGGCTAAGAGTGCACACCTCCAGTAAGAGCAACTGTGAGAAACGGAACCCCCAGCCCCAAGCCAGGAGGGGGTGCGCTGGTGCGGGAGGCAGGGCCGAGCCAGGAGGGGCTGCCAGCTCTGATCCTGCACCCTGAACTGCTCTGTAAGCCATGAGCATATCATCCTGGGGCTGGTTCGAGTCCCGGCTGCTCCACCTCCCACCTAGCTCCCTGACAACAGGCCTAGGTGGCAGCTGAGGGTGACCCAAGGGCTTGGGGCCCTGCACCAGGCCATGCCCCACCGCAGCTCTGGATCCCGGGCACCTGGGATGGGGGTCCCTCTGTGTCCCCCTCAACCTCTCTGAGACGGAGCCCAGCAGTCAGAACTGCAGAGCAGACAAGAGCGCCAGGCTCGGTCTGGGGGAACGGCTCTGATGCCCACTCAGCACGCTGGCTCTGCGCCCAGCAGGTCAGCCTGAGCTTGAGCCCAGCAGGGGCCCCCAGGCCGGGGGTGGCGGCTCTCACCTAGCAGGTGCAGTCCGTCCTGCTCCAGGTGGATGGCGCGCCCGGGCAGCTCGTGTCGGGTGCTGTCCAGCGCCGTGGCCAGCGCTTTGTACTGCTCCTGGAAGCTGTCGGCCACCTCCACCAAGGGGCCCAGCACCTGCATCTGCCCATGGGAAGGGAGGGACGCTGGGACCGGGCACGGTACCCCTCAGGGCCTCCTGGGGTCCCGTGACGGTGGCACCCCGAGCCGGCACGCACCTGGCCTCACGCTCTGCTCACCTGGGCATTGAACTTGGCCTCCAGCTCGCGCTGCTTCTGCTGCAGCAGCAGCCGTCGCCGCAGCTCAGCGCTCTGGGTCTGCAGCCGCTCCTTCTCCCGTTCCAGGAGAACCAGCTCCTGCTCTGCCCGCTGCTCCTGCTCAGCCAGCCTGTTCTCCATCTGGGCAGGGGACACGGGCGTGGGCGGGTGGCACCGGAGCCCCTCCCCTGCACCCCAGATGGGCCAGGCGCGCGGCTCACCTTGGTGGCCAGCAGTGTAAACAGCAGAGTTTGTGACTCTGTCATCTCCATCTGCTCGGCTAACGTCTGCGGGCGGTGGGTTGCGGGGTGTCCTCAGGGCTCCCCGCGCCACCCCGGGGGCTGCCCTCCCCACAGCAGCAGCGCTGAGCCCTCAGTCCCCGACACCTCGCAGTGGGAGCACGGCCCTCCCACCCTGAGCACCCGGCACAGCGGTACCCCGTCATGGGGTGCACTGCACGCAGCCCCTCATCGCAGGAACGCCCTGGACCAGCTGTGCCAGGGCCCAGGGCAGCAGGTGCACCGTGCAGGTGTGTGCGCCCCCCAGCTCCGGCATGCTCACTCACAGGGCCCTTCCTCTTTGGGGCGCAGGACGACGACGCTGCCCTCCTGGAGGGCTTCTTGCTCGGCTGCGGTGTCTTCACGGTCAGACTCTTGCCTGGGTGAGACAGGTGTGGGTGGCAGCGAGGGGCACGGATGGGCGGCCTGATGACCTGCTAAGCCCCCGTGAGTGGAACATGCCTACGGGCTCACCACGCGCTGAACTGGGCTTGGGGTTGTGGTGCAAGCAGATTAACACACCGCCTGGGAAGGCCCTATCCCATAGAGTAGAACGCTGGTTCGATCCCAGCTACGCCCCTTCCAACCCCGCTCCGCTAACGTGTGTGAGAAGGAGCGGCAGGTGAGGGCCCGGGGCAGTGCCCAGCTCCTGGTCCGCCCGGGCCAGCCCTGGCTGCTGTAGCGTTGGAGCAGTGACCCTGCTCACAGACGAGCTCTCCCTTCCCGTCGATTCCCCACCTTCAAACAGGTTGAAGGACATGAATCCCCAAAGGAAGGCTCAGCTGCCCGCCCCCAGCCCACAGCGCCCCCCGGGAGCTTTACCATGGATGTCGGAGAGGTCCAGGTCAGGTGGGGCTGCGCTGTGTCCCTCCAGCATCGTCGACTGCAGGTCCCCTTTGCCAAGGCCACTGCCATCTGTCGCTCGAATGACAAGACCCACCGGTGTGCCCGTCAGCGAGGGGGCAGCCGTCTCGCCCTGGGAGGCGGGCGGCCACACAGCCCACCTCTCGCCGTGTAACGCTCCTCCCTGGGCCAGTGCTGCCACCTGCAATGCTGGCATTGCACGGGGGCGCCGGCTGGAGTCGGCCTCCGGGAAGCTTGGGCGCGTGGCTTTGCCTGGCACAGCGCCGGGCACAAGCAGGGAGCAGGTGGGAAGCGGGGCAGCCGGGACTCGACCCGGTGTCGGGATGTGGGTGTCAGGCTGCAGCTCAGCCCGCTGTGTCCCAGCACTCGGCCTCAGTTTAGATCTGCAGAATGCTTATCGCAGCTGGCAGCTGCTGTGCCCGCGCCCTCGCAGCCCGCCCCATCTCTCGGAGGTTTTTCGGGCACACTGGGGGAGTTCTCAATGAAGAGGAGCAGGACTGGGGGAGCAGTCACCCCACGGCGGCAGCCCCTCACACCCCGGAACTGCCGGTGGCAGAGCAGATGCCACGGGTGTTTGGGTTTCAGAGCTGTGGGCTCTGTGGGCCGTCGCTGTGGTGCAGTGGGCAAAGCTGTCCCCTGCTGGGGCAGCGTCCCACCTCCGTGTGCATCTCAGGCTGTCCGTGCCCAAGGCCCTCTGGCTGCCAGGCCCGCGCCCTTTGTTCTCTGGCCTAGAAATGGTGGTCCCCACCTGCCCAAGGCAAGGAGTCTAAATCCACGGCGGCCTGCTCGATTCTTCCCTCTGCAGCACAGAGAGGCCGCTGTGTGGCACCGTGCTGCCCAGGCCAGCAGGCATGGGCAGTGCCACCCACGCCCACTGAGAGGAGCTCCCCCACTTTCGTCAGGCGCCCGTGGGGCACTGACGGAACCCCACACAGCTGCTGGTGTGAGAGGCTTGCTGTGGGAGTGCCCAGCTGTGGGCTGACCTCCAAGGCTCCCGTGCCAGAATCTCCGGGGCCGTGTGCGGTGTCCTTTCTGCGCACGCTCCCACCATGGCACAACCGGCAGCCGTGGGGCCCCACTAGTGACTGGGCAGACAGGACTGTGTGGGCACTAACCCGCAGGCTCCACGGCAGGCCAGGAAAGGCCCCTGGTGCGACGCCCAAGGGGCACAGCTGCTCTTGGCACACACACCTTTCCCAGAGGCTCCCCGTGGCTCCTCCAGCGAGCCCAAGGCCACCACCCCTGCCGCCCCTGACCCCGCACACCTCGGCTCTGCTGCAGAACGCCAGCCTTCCTCCCGCTGTCGGGGGCTTTCCCGCCACACCTGGAGGTGTCAGCCGCAGGAGCCTGTTGGGGACACGAGGCCATCAGCGCCTCTCCTGGGGTCAGTGGGATGGGGTGTGAGCACCTGCTCTGAGCCAAGGCAGAGATGGGCAGAGCTCAGGAATTCCATGCGAGGCCCCAGGGACACATGTGATGTGTGCAAGACACGGACGTGCTGGCCGGTGGACCCCTGTGACTCGGGCGACCCCCGTCGCTAGGGACACCCACAGCCCAGCCTGGCTCTCCATCCAGCTCCCTGCTGACACTCACCTTGGAGGCCGCAGGCCACGGCTCAGTAGCTGGGCCTCTGACCCCTGTGGGCAACCCCAAAGCAGCTCCTGGCTTTAGCTTTGGGGGCGTCAAAAGCAGCCACAGACACATGGGGGCGCTGTAACCAAGCAGTCCTGGCCACACTAAAGCCGGGAGGGCCCCACTGCTCCTTGGTCAGCAGCCCTCTGATAGGGAACGCCAAGGCTGGGTGCCGGCTGTGCCACCCCCTTCCCGGGGGCAGCCAGGACTGGGCACACCACGGGAAGCTGCCTCCCGAGGCCCCACGTCCCCCAACCCAGTGCTGCTCTGAGCACCTGACCCAGCTGCCTGCTGGCACGTCTGGGAGGGCAGCAGGCGACAGCCCAGCCCTGGCCGTGGTGGGCATCCGGGCAGCGAGCCAGTGGCTGGCTCTCCCTGCTCTCGGCGCACGGGGTCATCTGCTGACCGTCCCCGCCAGGTCTCCGTGGTGACGGGAGCCGCTCTCTGCCCACCGTTCCCTGCCTCGCAGTGGGAACACTGCACACTCGGGCACGTCTCCCCGGGGGTTTCCTCTGGACACCCACAGGATGTTCTGGATAAAAGCACGGTTGGAGCCAGTTGTTCAACTGAAAGGCCGGGTCACACAGAGAGGCCTTCACCCACGGGAATCACTCGCCAATGCTGGCTGCTGGGCCAGACTGAGGCCAGGAGCCTGGGATTGCAGCGGGGCCCCCACGCACCCGAGCAGTAGGCTGCCGCTTCCCCAGCTGCCCGAGTGGCAGGCAGAGTGGCCGGGCCTCACACTCAGGCTGGCAGGGCTCCTGCAGGTGCCCTCCTAGATGCAGGCTGCCAGTGGGAGTGTGCGGGCCCCGGGCAGGACTGCCTCAGGACCCGGCAGTGAGGGCTGGCTGGGCTCCATGGTCACAGACCTGACTAAGGGGACAGTCCCTCAAGCCACAAGCTGCAGCGTGGGGAGCCGTGGGCCTCGCGGGCTGAGAGCCCAGGAGCCCGTGTGGAAGCGTGCCCCACGCACACGGAGCGCCCCTTACCTTTCTGGGGGCTTTCTTCTCATACTGCAAGTACCGGGACTCGACCACTCTTCCCCCTGCGGGGCAGAACCGGTTGTGGCACCCCACTCGTGCCCAGAGAGCCGCGGCTGCTCCCCTCCTCAAGGCCCTGGGGTTCAGGGACCCCGCCACTCTGGGCTATGACACCCAGCCCTGAGCTCAGAGGGAAGCTCCTGCACCCCGGAGCCCGCCCTGCGCCCTGCCAGCTCCCCACACCCAGTGCCCTGCACCTGCCAATCTGCCTTGCTCTCCTGAGTGCCCTGGCCTGGCTAGGAGAGGTACCACCCTCCCCTACTTCTCCAGGCAGCAGCTCGGAGCCCCCAAAGCTCCCCCATTGGGCAAGTCACCCAGTTCCTGCTGCCTGAGCCCTGGCTGGAAGCCACTGGTCCCACACTGGGGCGAGGCACCTGCCTGCGCCATCACCTCCTGACCCTCTGTGATTGCTCACCCAGGGGGTTCTGCCATCATCACCAGCAGGGAGCAAGGACAGAAAACGCTGCCATGAGGCCTCAGGTGGACGCCGGGCGGGCAGGGCCCCGGGCAGCCGTCAGCCCCGAGCAGGACGCCCATGTCCCCTGGTAACAGGGCGCCTGTCCCAGCTCCCTCACAGACCCAGCTGCCTGTGGCCAGGCATGTGCGGAAGGCACTGGCTTGTTGCTCCAGTCTGGTCTGGGGGAGACCTGCAGGGGGGCCTGCCACCCCAAATGAGACCTTGAGGAGGGACCCAGCTGTGACAGTCACAAGGCCACGAAGCCAGGGAGGGCCGTGCCTGCCTGACACCTGACCGTGCAACCACTGGCACCCTTGGGAGAGTAGGTACCCACGGCCTGGGCCACCCCACGGCCTGCCCGACACCTGACCACACAATCAGAGCCTGGCCCCCCCTGGCACCCCTCGGCCTGCCCGGCCCCGCAGCGCTGCGGGCACACGGCCCAGCAGGCTCACCTCGGCCTCGCTTCTCTTTCATCTTGGCCCCACCAGAAGTGCCGGGGACCCCAGCCGGCTTCCTGGAACACAAGTCAAGGTCAGGGGAGCTGGCCCAGGCTCGCCCCACGACCCCCGCGGGGAGGTCGCGCCCCAGTGGGCACCCCGGGCGGGAGAGAGCCTGAATGCCTCAGCACAGTGCTGCGTGGGTTCGAGTCCAGCCTCCTGCTAACGCACACCCCGGGAGGAGGCAGCACCAGGCCGGGCTGGGGTCCCTGCCAACCCACGGGCGAGCCGGGGATGCAGCTCCAGGGCGCGTCAGACAGCGGCCGGGTGGTCGTCTGCCGCCGGCCCGGGAACTGACGGGGTTATCTGAGCGAAGGGAGCGGGATGGAGGATTCCCGAGCCGTCTCGGGGCTCGGACAAACTCCCGGGGCGGCCGTGCCCGGCTCACCGGCCGCCTGTCAGGGCGCACGCTTGGCCCGCGCCGGCCTCAGCCGCACGGGGACGGACGGACAACGCCGCTCGCCCGCCGTGGACGCCGCTGGACTCGAACTCGCAGCCCCGTCGCTCGGGCACCCCCGTCCCCGCTCGGGCATGCGCAGGTGCCGCGCGGCGGTTCCCCGAGGGAGCCCCCCGAGAAGCCGCCCCGAGGCTCTCCGTCCTCCGGCCCGGCCGCCCTCGGCCACGGTCGCCTCTGCGGGCTTCCTCGGCCGCTCACCCGGCGTCGCCGGCATCCGCCATTTTCCCGCCTTGGCCACTCGAAGGCCGGCTCGGCGCGGCGGCGGGCCGGACCATGTCCGCAGGGGTGTCCGCGCGTCGGCAGCGGCGAGCTGGCGCGGCCTGAGCCGGCGGCCTCCCCCCTTCCGGCCTCCCGCTTGGTTCGCGCCGGAAGGGGCGGGGCTAGCGGAGGAGCTGGGCCAGCCGGAACCCGGAAGCGCCGAGCTCATCCCTGCTGCGGGGAGATACTGGGGTGCAGCCCCTGGCCCTGGGAGAAAAGGGGGTGCAGCCCCACGATCATGTTGGAAGATGCGTGGTGCAATCCCTATTCTCGCACCAGACGTACTGGGGTGCAGCTCGTACTCCTGTCAGGAGATGCTCGGGTGCAGCACCCCCTCATGCCAGGAAATATTGGGGTGCAGCCACTTTCTTTTACCCAGGGATACAGGGGTGCAGCCCCTCTCCCACTGGTAGATTCTGGGGTGCATTCCCCCACTGTCCCCTCCTGACTTATCTGCTTCCTGCCTTCCCACGCAATGACTCAGTGAGCCCAGGGTGCATCCAGCGCCCTGCAGGCGGGCCTCGCACTCGTGGGAATCCCATGTTTTCCTGGGTCTGGGGTCCCTGGGAGGGAGAGAGGAGTGTCAGGGTCCCGAGTGGGGCCCAAGGCAGCCAGTGGGCGCGCCAACCCCAACTTCCCAGAGTCTGTGGTAAGTGGAAGCGTGTCCCCCTGTGGCCGTACGTCCTGCAGACCTGCGGGGCCACAGGGAGGGTTAGACTCCCAGCTGCAGCTGAATGGATCTGAAGCCAGGAGCCAGGAGCCTCTCCGGGGTCTCCCCCGCGGGTGCAGGGTCCCAAGGCTGTGGGCCGTCCTCCACTGCTTTCCCAGGCCACAGGCAGGGAGCTGGGTGGGAAGTGGAGCCACCACTGCCACAGAGTCATCCCTGATCTCTCATTCTGTTATGTCCTGCCTCCTGGCCTAACCGTGCTCAGCTCCGGCCACTTCGGGCGTGTCCCAGCATATGGGACATCTCTGTCTGTCACTCCTTTCAAACAAACAAATAAATATATATGAAAAAAAAGACGAAGGGTCTGGCGCCGTGGCTGCTGGCTAAAGTTCTCGCATTGAACACGCTGGGATCCCGTATGGGCACCAGTTCTAATCCCTGCGCCCCGCAGGGCCTGGGGGTGTCCACGCTATCACAGGTGGGAAGAAAAGTGGCTTGGTGGTGAGGGGGAGGGCTGGCCGTGGGGAAGACACCCGGAAACCCAGCACCTGCTGGGAGACACCCGGGAAGTTGGGAGACACCCGGGAAGTGAAGGCGCCGTGAGATTCAGAGTCGACGACAACGCAGTGAGGAGAAGAACCATTCAGGTTTGGGGTTAGGTCCTCGCACCTGCCCGCCGCCCTTCCCCTGGCAAGAGCTGTGACTGCAGGGCCGGGGACCCCAGTTCTAACAGAACGCTTCCGCCACATCCGCCCCGGAGGCTCGCGGGGCAAGTCACGACCCCCAGAGCAGGGACATGGGAGCCCAGGCTGCCCCCAGCTCCGAGGGGCCTGCCGTGGCGGCTCCCCTCCATCCCTCCTCTCCCCCACGCCGTCTCCCCTAATCCGCCTTCTTGGTCTTCTTCTTCCTGGCGCCCTCGCCCAGCTCTTCCCTGGCCTTGGCCGGCACGACCGGGTGCTGTGGACCAGGCCCGGCCACGGCGGATCCACCGTGACTGTCCTGGTGGTGCTGGTCGCCGCCCCAGCCTGTCCCGAACAGCACAGGGCAGACGTAGCCCTCCAGGACGTCAAATGGGGAACTGTGGGAGTGGGTGGCCGTCAGGAACACCTGCAGGGGTGGGGGGGATGGGGCAGGGAAGATAACCAACCGTGAGGTCATGGCTGGGGGTGGCCCTGCCCCGGGTCCTGTCCCCCACCCTGGGGTGGACCGGGAGCTCAGAGAGCAGCCTTGGAACCTGAACGGCTGGGTCCCCCACCCCTGCCCCCCAAGCGTTCCATGAGCGGTGGTATTAAGAGGCGGTGTCCGGGTGGCACTGTGACACTGTGGGCTACACCCTCGCTGGGGACATCCGCCTCCCATATCGGAGCTGGTTCAAGTCCCGGCCGCTCCACTTCTCAGCCAGCTCACCTCCAGGAGCGACAGGGGCTGGCCCAAATGCCTGGGTTCTTATCACTGACATGGGAGGCCCAGGTGGCACCCCTGGCTCCTGGCTGAGGTCTGGGCCAGCCCTGGCTCCTGCCAGCATTTGGGGAGTGAAGCTGCACCGGGAAATATTCATGATACTCATCCTCTCTCTGTCATACTGCCTTTCAAATAAAGGTTTTTGTTTAAAGATTTATTTATCTTCATTGGAAAGCCAGATATATAGAGGAGAGACAGAGAGGAAGATCGTCCATTCTCTAATTCACTCCCCAAGGGGCCACAATGACCAGAGTTGAGCCGATCCGCAGCCAGGAGCCAGGAGCCTCTTCCGGGTCTCCCACGCGGGTGCAGGGTCCCAAGGCTTTGGGCCGTCCTCCACTGCTTTCCCAGGCCACAGGCAGGGATGGGAAACGGGGCTGCCAGGACACGAATCAGTGCCCACATGGGATACCAGTGCGTGCAATGTGAGGACTTTAGCCTGTAGGCTGTCACACCGGGTCCCCAAATATGTTTTTTTTAATATCTCTTTCAATCAAGAATTGTTTATTTATGACAGCGGTGCGATGACTCAGTTGCTACAACCTTCAAGTGGTGGTATCCCACACAGGAGCAGTACATGTCCTGCCTGCTCCGTTTCCCATCCTGCTCTCCTGCGGGAAACCTGGAAGAAGCTCCTGGCTCCTGACTTCATTGTGGTCCAGCCCCTGGGAGTGAGCCAGTGGGTGAAAGAGCTCTATCCGCCCCTTTCTGTAACTCTGCCTTTCAAATAAATACATCAATACAAACTTAAAACAGAAAGCTTCCCCTGGCCCTGGGGATTCTTGTTTGCTGAGAGCATCCTGGTCCCCAGCAACCAGCCCGGGAGGAGGCCGGGGCGGTGGGCTCTGGAAGGGGCAGAAGAGGTGACCCCAGCCCGAGGGGAGGCCGGGGGGAGGGTGGGCTCCCGCAGGGATGAGAGGCGACCCCAGCCCGGGAGGAGGCCAGGAGTCGGGCTCCTGCACGGGTGACACTTACCTTGCACGACACCATGAAGAGGGTGAAGACGAAGATGAGGCTGGCTTTGGACACTGGGAGCCAGCGGGTCTGCTGCAGCGTGAAGAGCACAGCTCCGTACAGGCTGGCTTTGGTGGGGCTGTGCAGGAAAGGGGGGCCAACAGGTCTCTGCCGTGCTCCCACTCCCAGCTCTGCTCCCGAGGGTCTCTGTCCTGCTCCCACTCCCAGCTCTGCTCCCGAGGGTCTCTGTCCTGCTCCCGCTCCCAGCTCTGCTCCCGAGGGTCTCTGTCCTGCTCCCGCTCCCAGCTCTGCTCCCATCTTCTCCTGAGTGTGAGGTGGGAAAGTGCATGCATCCTGCAGTGGGGCGAGCTCACCCCCTGCAGCCAGGCAGGTACCAAGCAGTCCCTGGCAGGTGCCCTGGTGACAACATCTTGGGCTGTCTTATGTGATGTGTGTGGTGGGAGTCTTGGGCCTGGCAGTTTCAATTCTCTTATTTTTAAAAAAAGATGCATTTTGTTTATTTGAAAGAGAGGAGGAGGTGAAGGCTGGAGGGAGGGAAGGAGAGTTGGGAGAGAGGGAGGGAGGGAGGATGGTTTGATGGTTCCTTCTCCAAATGCCTGCTACGGCTGGGGCAGGGCCAGGCTGAAGCCAGGAGCCCAGAGCCTCCTCCAGGTCTCCCACGCGGGTGCAGGGGCCCAAATACTTGGCCTGCCCTCCCCGGCCACAAGCAGGGAGCTGGATGGGAAGTGGAGCAGTCGGGACGTGAGTCGCTGTTCACGTGGGATGCTGACACTACAGGTGTTGGTTTAACCCGCCACACTGCAACACTGGTCCTCGGCTCGGCTTCTGGAGGGTGGGGGCCGAGGGTTCGTGCTCAAGCCGTTAGCTGTGTCCATGTGACTGTGGTCCCGGCTGGTAGGACACCTTGCGTGTTGCAGCCTGGCACCTCTGGGAGCAATGAGCTCCATCTTGGAAGTTCACGCCCTGTCCCTCTCAGGCTCTGAGAACGTGTACTTGTCTGCAGTCCCAAGCCCTAACCTCCCAGTGTTGCCGTGTAGCGGGTTACACCGCCATCCGTCATGCTGGCAGCCCACATGAGCACGGGTTCGAATCCCGGCTGCTCCGCTTCCCATCCAGCTCCACGCCCATGCATCTGGGAGGGCAGCAGAATGAGGCCCAAGCGCTGGGGCCCTGCACCCACGTGGGAGACCCAGGTGGAGCCCCGGCTCCTGGCTTCGATTTGGCTCAAGCTCTGGCTGTTGCAAGCATGTGGGGACTGAGCCAGCAGGTGGGGAATCTCTCTCTCCCTCTCTAATTTTGCCTTTCAAGTAAACAAATCTATCAATTAGGAAAAAAAAAATCCATGCAAACTATTAAGCTTTGCCGAGTTCGGTGTGCCCTTCCGGCCGAGCAGCAACCGGGGTCATCCTGGCATTGCCCCAACACCTGCCAGTGCCCTCCCAGGCCCCCTCCCCCAGCACGAGGCCGGCCGCCGGGCCAGGCGTGAGACTTACAATGACATGTGCAGCAGCTCGCTCGTCTCGGGCTTCCAGACGCCTCGGAGCAGCTGCTCGGCGTGGGACATGAGGGCGACGCCAGAGCCTGTGGGACAGGGCACTGCTGAGCACACCTGCCCCTCCTCCTGCGCTCACACCCGCCTGGGGCACACGAGTTCCGTCACAGGTGGCAGAGGGAGCGTATGGCTCTTGGAGGACACTGCCCAGGGCGACTGTCACTCAGGGGGGTGGGAAGCAGCACGAAGGTGCCGCAGGCCTGCCCACCATCCAAAGGTGAGCCTTGGGGCCCGTGCTGGGGCACCACTGCCACCTGTGATGCTGGCAACCCCATGTCACTGGTTCAAGTCCCAGCTGGTCCTCTTCCAATGCAGACCCCTGCTAACATGCTAGGACAGCAGCCAAAGCCGCCCAAATACCTGAGGCCTTGCACC